TCCACATATACTACCATATAATTGTCTTATAACTCCATTTCATAAGTTTTGTGAGGTTTTGATTTTTTGAATTTGGAGATGTTTTGGAGGATTTAAGAAGATGAAAAAGATAGGGTTTAATTGGGTTGTCGCGGCAGTTACGAGCACGTACGGTGGCGTTCGGCGGCGGCGGCGTCGGCGGCGGCGTCGGCGGCGGCGTCGGCGGCGGCAGCGGCGGCGTCGGCGGCGGCGGCGGCGGTCAGGGTTGGAGAGGATGAGAAATGGTGGAGGTTTTTTTTTTTTAACAACAAAGGGTTTTTTTTCTTTTTTTTTTTTATTTGGTTTTTGAATAGGTAATTTCTAATAAAATTTGATATAATTGATATTTTGTATGAAAGGGTGTTTTTGTAATTTTCTTTTTATTTTGGTTTCAAAGTAAGAAAAAACTTATAAATATGTACTCAATTGTGGTTTTCAACTAGGTAGTATTCAACTAAGCAAAAATTAGTATTCAAAATAGTTGCCCCCATAAAATATTGGTAATTACAAAAACACCCGAGATATAGTTTTGCTTAACAATGTTTCTTCTCAGATGAAATGATCATGATTCTTTTATATATATATATATATATATATATATATATATATATATATATATATATATATATAAATTTAATACTATACATTATAGTCCACCCTAGATCTGCCATTACTTGTGATTTGAATGAGACTATATGAACCAAAGGTCATATAGTTATTGTCCAGCGTATATATATATTAATGCAATGGTTAAAACTTAAAACTTGGGACGAAAAATCACATATAACGGATCGAAATCGATTTATCTTTTCGGAAATTTTTTGATTTGTTTCTTCTGAGGTACAAAATTACTTCAAATTTCAATTCCAATTTTTTTTGGAATTCATAAATCCATTTAGATTAAAAAAGCTTCCGAACTTTAGAATTTCGGAAATTCCAAAAATCGCACAACTTTTGAAAATTTCAGAATATTTCGGATTTTTTTTTTAAATTCCATAAATTTAAAGCAAATAAGAACTCTGGTTTTTTGCATATTTGTGTGTTAATAAACTCTCTATCTAAGCTCTTGTCTGATAAGTTCTCTCTATAAAAACTCTCGTTTAACGCAACTTCAAATGCATATTCATTTGTTAATTAACGCTACCCCCGATCGACCTCGGAAAACACACACTTAAAAATCACGGAAAATCTTGCCGGAGCTCCAACAGCGCCGACGCCGACCTCCGATGTGTTTTTACTCACATTGAATAAGAAAAATGGAATTAAAAAGAATTATGAGAAGGACTTGTAACAAAGTGAGAAACAATGGGTTGTCCTTTTTACCAAATTTAATTTCATAAAAATAAAATTAAAAAAAGGAAAAGGAGAAGTTATAATTATGGTACTCCACTTTGGTAGATTGATGTTTAAAAGATTCTGCAACAGGTAAAAAAAATCTCCACGTGGACAAGGAAATTGTTGTTAAATATCACATGGGCTGTTCGTGGAAATTGTCTACCTGCCCTAATTAGGGAAGTGACAAATTAATTAAAATTATTTCCAAATTTATAACATTGTACATTGGCTGTTTAATTTATTAATTAATATATACCCAAGTCAATTTTATATATTGTTTTTTGTGTGTGTACAAATTACCAGGTTATCTTAGAATGGTCCCCCTACCTAGGAAAAATTTATTGATATATTACATCACTATCCAATGTGGTCCTGATTTTATATGGAATTTTGTTACTCTACAAATTCAGAACCAACACCATTTCAAAATGGGACAAGTAACACTCTATTTGTTTCCTTTCTTAGTCTTCGCATGCATTTGTCTAATATATGTGGGAAAAATTGATTTTTTTGTGGTTTGATTAATTATTAGAAGAATGTTATATTACACGCCGTATCGTTGTATTGTGTATTTGTTCGTGTGTCGCGTATGATTTGTTCGGTCGACACTACTTGATTTACTTTCTCCTCTTTGGATGGTTCTTCATCGGGATATTTGGATTGTCTCCGTTGTCGGTGGATTGTCCAATTGTTATAAAAATTTAAAAATTTAATTTTTACAATAACCCTTCGCAACAAATGTGGCGATGTCACCTCAATTTGCCACAGTAGATAAGCGCACATACTAAGAAATTAAACCGAAACCGAAACGCAAAAGTCACCTAAGGAATAGGGCGAACCGCCAAAAAAAGATCACCGGAAAAAAAGTCCAAATTCCAGTAAAAAAATTGGGAGATTATGAAAGAAATGTAATATTGATAGTAGCGAAGATGATAATCTGGGAAATTAGGCAAATATAGTATTGAATTAAGCAATCGCGTAAAAGTTGTAACAAGGGTCTTGTACGTAGCAATTTATTTTGCAAATACGAGTGTAAATGAGTTGAGCCGGTTCGGGAGCCTGATGAGTTGGTTCGGAAAAAAACTCGAGCTTGAGCTCGAGCGCACCTTTAGTGTTGTTCATGAGCTCAAGAACCGACTTGCGAGTTTTTATATATTTTTAAAATATAAATATAATAATATAATAAATATCTATTAAAACAATATAAAAAACTAAAATTCAGTTCATTTATTATCTTTTAATTTATTATTATCTTATAAATAACTTATAATAGTTAATAATATCAGTCTAATATAAAAAAATCTAAAAACAAATATGAGCTCGAGCTCCTGCTCGACAAGTTTTGATAAAGCTCGAGCCCACCAAATTTGTCAGCTCAGCTCGAATTCGACATGTTTACACTCCTACATGCAAATACAAGTCCCAAAAGGAAATGCAACTAAGCAAAAATTCAAATCATGATAGAAATAATAGCTATGATATGAAAATGAGTTTGAATTCCTACACATACCCTTCTATTATTGCAATTTTTCTTGGCAACTTGCCCTTAAATCATTTTCGCAATACCCATATAAACATGAACGTATAATCAAGATCTTTTAATCTCCAATTGATTACGAAATTGCTGCATAATTGAAATACATAATTAGATTAAAAAAAATAAAATAAAAATCAAGCTACCTCTTATTCTTGATTAGAAGAGTCTCTCTTGCTCGTTCCGCTTCGTTCAACTTGAAGTTCATATCATCTACCAATATCTTTGTCCTCGATTCCGGTTCCATTCCCTTCTCTGTCATCTCAGCAAAATACTGCAACGCGTTCGCTATCTTCCCTTTATCGTAAAGCCCGTGAACGATGATCGTGTAAGATCGTCGATCGGGTCCTAATCCATTCCTTTCCATTTCATCCCAAAAATATTTGACCCTCTCTTCATCTCCCCATTCCGTAAACAATCTCAACGCCAAGTTATAAGTATCCGCTTCTAGCTTACACCCCTTCTTCTTCATTCTCTCCAAAATCGTATCGACTTCTTTAGGATTCTTTGCAGCCTTCAATAAGTACCCGTAAGTAACAGCATTCGGCGAACAAGTTTCTCCCTTTTCGTCCATGCTGTTCAACAGCTCGTAAACTTTCTCCATCCTCTGAATTTTGCACAAGTGCTTGATAAGCGAATTGTAAGTGGCTGCGTTTGGCGGGCAGCCCTTTTGATTCATCTCGCTGAAAATCTTGAGAGCTTCGGGTATCTGTTTCTTGTAACACAGTCCTTCGATTACGGTGTTGCAGATTGGTGCGTCGGGGGTGCAATCTTTCTCCCACATTTTTCTGAGCACTTTCGAGGCGGTGCTTATTTTTCCGGACTTGCTTAGCGCATTGATGAAAATGCCGTAAGTGAATTTATCCGGCTTGCAGTCCGATTTGAGAATGTCCATCCAGAACCGCTTCGCGTCGGGCAAACTACGAAGCACGCACCATCCATTGAGTATGATATTCCACGTCTTGATGTCTTCCTCGAACTCGCTTTTCGTATTTCGGAACAATTTTTCAGCTGCTTCGACGTGCTTGTACCTGCAGAGGGAGAGCAGTAGCGTTTGGAAAGCAACCAAGTTTCGCTCGAGACCTAAACTCTGGATGTTGTTGAAAAGCTCGATTGATTCATCAACCTTGTGGGCAGCGGAGAATCTGTTCAAAACGACGCCGTAGGTGCGCTCGTCGATCAGATTTTTTCTGCTGGACATTTCGACGAGCACCTGGTGGAGTTCCTGAAAGCGTTTCATCCGGCCGAGTGTGTCGAGAATTTTGTTGTAGATTGGGGTATTCGGGGCAAACCCGGTTGAATTCTTCGTTCTGCGAACCCAGGAGAAGAACGCGTAAGAGGGTTTCCAGTCGGAGCGGTGGCGTTCGAGCATGTTGAGAATCGAGTCGTCGGATAAGGAGAGATTGCACTCGTCGAGGCGCCGCTCGATTTCCTCCGTAGGCTCGCCGGAATGAGTCTTGAGGAGGGTTTGAATTTTGAGGGCTTGGTGATCGTCGGAGGGGTTTGTGGGTGGGTTTTGCAGGGGTGAGTTTGAGGGGTTTTCATTGTTGGCGAATATACCGCGGGAAATCTGGTGGTGATAGTGAAGATTGCGGTGAATGGGTACTGAAATTAGGGGATTTTTTGGGGAAATGAATTGATCGGAAGTGTTGCCGACTGAGGATTGAAATCTTGAGAAGCGGTGGATTTGGAGGGAAAGTGGTCGGAATCTGGAATGCATATTGAACATCTAAATTGGTAATGGTTTGTTTGTTCAGACTTTTATTTGAGCTTCTGTGAAGATTTTCTTTATTAATTTCTCTCTCTCTATATATTTTTTTTTATTATTCTCAATATATTTTTAATAAGTAAAATAAATTCTTACTCATAGAAAGTATTTCTGAATAATGTGTTTTACTTCAAAAAAATATTCTAAATCATATTGTAAAAATTAAATATCATTGTAGTCCTAAACACATGTACTCACATAACTTCATATAAATATATTCTGGAAACTAAGCCCGAATATAAATATGTCTTAAAGTGAACTTGAATTCAATTGTTGGTATTATCGAAAGATCATTATTTGAGTTGAGCTGGATCTGGAGGAGATGGTTCAAGCAGCGGCGAAAATGTTCGGCGATGGAATCTTATTTGGGAGATTCCTCTTTTTCTGAGAATTCGTATTTTTTTTATGGGGGGCATGTTTGGAGATACTACTCGCGGGCGCTGAATTGTGGCGGCGAAAGGTGGCATCATCCCCCCAATATGCTCTCGATGCGGAGCAACTGTGGAGACAATTATCCATGCTCTCCAAAACTGCGGCGGCATGGAGGTGGTTTGGAACTCATCTCCTTTCTACTTGAAACCTTTTGAGCAGACATGTTCTATGTGGGAGTGGGTCAATCACATGCACAACAATCTTAATGGAAACAATTTTCTGCTGGCTCTTATTGTTACTTGGAAAGTATGGGAGGTAAGGAATAGGGCTCTACATGGAGAGGAAGGGATTACGGGGGAAGAATTGGTTCAATGGTGTTGGCCATATCTCTCCGCTTACCAGCAAACACAACTGTCAAAGTTTGCTTCTCCAAGGGCTCAATTTCAGACTTCCTAGACTCCACCCTGAGGGGGTCATTAAAGTGAATTTCGATGCTGCCATTCCCGTGGGCAGTAACTTTTATTCGGTGGCCATGATTGCTAGAGACTGGTGAGGGGAATGTTGTAGGTGAGCTGTCCGTAAATTTCCGAGGCGGTCAAATGCGGTAGATTGTGAAACACGTGCTGCTCTTGAAGTTATTGCACTGACTAAATCACATGGTTGGAACTCGATCATTCTAGAGGGGGATTGCTTAAATGTCATCAATGTCTTGAAAGCCGGAGTTCTTTCGTCCTTCTCATTTGGAGCATCTATTGAGGAGACCTTAACTATTGCTGCATCTTTTGCTGCATCTTTTGATTCATGTAACTTTCTTTTTATTAAGCGTAAGGGCAATTCTTTGGCACATGTTCTTGCCACGAAGTTAAACGTACTTTCAGTGAAGGGACTTCTCTTCCCCAGACTTTGGTGATATATGCCCAATAAAATCGTAATTTTCTCAAAAAAAAAATAAAAAAAAAATCAATTGTTGGAATATTTATTTTTTATTAATTACTATTTATATATTCACATATAATTTTTAGAATAAATTACGGGCACTAAATAACTTACGAACTCTTGTAGTGTTGATAATTTCAAACACTCCCTTGGACTATTTAGGATAAATGTAATATATCCATATAGGATAATTGTATATTTTGTCTTAGGTGGCTGCTATATGCAATCTCACAAACTCTTTAGGGGAAGATCAAATCTATTTTTTCACCAAATGAATTACTAAAAGACTATTATACCTTTACTAAAAAACAAAACCCACAATTACAAAACTTCACAACTTTCTTTGTGCAAGACCACACCAACAAAACAAATTTTATCTTCTTCACAAATCAATTTCATACCAATTCTTCAAAAAAATAAAACCTTCATCTTCTCCAAAAATCCTCAATATCTTACTAAAACATGGAAATGATACCATTATGGAGTCACGAGACATCAATATGGAGAATTTTATAGAAAAAGTAGATAACAAACTACGAATGAATGTATTTTATATCTAGGTGATCGATTTTTTAAGTTTTCAAAAAGAAAATTCCCGCAGTCAAAATTCGACACATACATGTAATTTTCAGTCTTGTTCTTAGTAGATATATTTATATTTTAGTCTTAGTAAGATTTCGCCCTTAAAAATCTTAAAAGTACCGGTAATTTACCCATAGTTTATTTGTTTAATAAAAGAGTAGTTAGACAATTTATTCATTCCATTATGATAAGCTATAGTCTTATTTCATGGTATCCGTAATAAACCCTTATCTTTTTATCTGAAATGTAAAATGTCGGTTAAATTTTATTAATATCACTTTGACTTCGGTAGTGATTCCGACATTTTTTTAGTTTGAATTTAGCAAAATTCAAAATATAGAAACTGTAGTCCTTTGAAATAGTTTTCTAAAATCCAACTTGAATAAGTTTAATTGGATATCAACTAACAAAATTATGTATGAATGAGTTACATTTTAAATTTTACAAAACTTAAAATATCAAAGTTGTAAGTAAACTTTATTGATTCATGAATATCTTTTTCTCCCAAAATCCAATCTTTGTAATTCAATTTGGATTAAAAAACTAATGCAAAGAATTATGAATTCCAAATTCGAAGTTTTGCCAAATTCTTCATCGAAAATGATCAAGATCACGTGCAGATTCAAAATCGTAACGATATTATTAAAGCTGAATTTCAATTTTAAACACCTGGAAATTCGAATAAAATTCTGGATTAAGAGTGTCGTGGCATCGGGATCCGGAGATTCATTCATAAATTAATTAATTCTCATCCATATCCATTTCTCCATACTCTGCTTTTCGGACACCAAACCATAATTTCATAAACATTGTCTTCTTTCTGCTTAATTTAATTTAATTTAGTTTAATTTAATTGAAGATGGGAAGGATTTTTGTGGTGTATCTGGAAGGCCAAATCTACATATGCAAATTCTGCAAAACCCATTTAGCTCTTGCTCATGAACTCGTCTCTCGGGTTAGTATTTTTTTTAGGGTTTCTTCATTCTTCTGCAGCGAGATTGGATCACTTATTTCTAAAGATTGAATTTTTATTTAATTTGCAGTGAAATTTGGCTCTTAATTCTTTTCAACTCCCTGGATTTTACATATACTGAATTTCTTGCCCTTTTTATAGATTATAATTTCAGTAATAAATATCTCGTTTTGGGGCAAATCAACATCTGCTGAATTTACTGTTTTCTGTGTAGATTTAACTCTGATTGAGGCCTTAATCTAAAATTGAGAGCTTTTTTGTTTTAACTTTTAACTATGGTACACTTATGCTTAACATTCTCATATATATATTGCTCATGTTCACAGGCATTTCATTGCCGGAGGGGAAAGGCATACTTGTTTAATAACGTGTAAGTCAGCTCCCGGATTTCCCTAATTTTCGACTCTCGTCTTTTTCCGTCGACCACTACTTTACGATTCTTGATTTTATTACACTCATCATTGGTAATTGTTCTCGAAAAGATTAGTTTCTAGATTTCGAAAGTTTGCGGTTGACATATGAGATGACAGTGTCTTGTTTCCATGATCAAATAGTGATTAGGGCAAATTACGGCCAACCCCCGAGGTAAGGCCAAATTACGAAAACTCCCTCCTATTTGGGTAATTACAGTCAATCAACTATGTATTGTCTTACACTTACACGTCCATTCTTACGGTGTCAATTTTACCTACTGAAATCATTCCAACAAGAAGGTGTTTTTTTTTTTTTTTGTAATTTGGCCTTACCTCAGGGCAGGCTGTAATTTGCCCTTATACTTAAATAAATACCGTTTCTACCAGACCAATACGAAGCTACGATTTGATTTTAGTTTCTTGTGTTTGTGTTAGCTCACGTGTTATATTATTGAGTGTTTTTTTTTTGTCACGCGTTTGAAATTGCATCAATGTTTTTCCTTTCGTTTTATTTATTTACAATTTTTGGCCTCAGAGTGAATATCACAGTCGGACCTCATGAGGAGAGGATGATGCTTTCGGGAATGCATACCGTGGCAGACATATTTTGCTGCTGTTGTGGCCAAATAGTTGGCTGGAAATACGTACACATTTTCTCACTCCATATTCTCTCAATTTTCAAATTACACTTCTTTCGATTCTTCCTCAAGTTTGATTCGTTTTAATTTACCTTAATACCCCATTTTTTTAGGAAGCTGCACACGAAATGAGCCAGAAATATAAAGAAGGGAAATTTGTCCTCGAACGGTACTTTTAACTAACAATCATTGCTTAACGAAATAATTACGGCTTGCGTTTTTCTTTCTTCTTCTTCTTGTTTAATGTAGTTTAAAATGGTTTGTGAAGCAGAGCGAGGATAATGGATGGAGTTGACTCGGAATTCTATATCGATACTTGCGCTTCGGCCGGTGATTCTGATGATGCGTAGATTTTGCTGTTCTTTGTAACTTTAGATGGTAATAAATGTACTGGGCTTCTTTTGTATTAATGTGTATGTATGAAGATGTAGCAGAAGCAGTTGTTCCTTTAATTAGGTTTCGAAGTGGTTAGTATTTTGAGCTGGTAGATGTTGTTTTGAGGCACAATTTAGACACAAACCAACTACGAATTTGTAATCTTGCACCGCTCGACTAAACCCTAAGACAAGGGTCCTCGTCCACTACTCTTGCCTCGCCATGTGAAAATCAGTGTCGCCACCAAAACCTAGATTGCGACCCTATACCAAACCCTAGAGCCGCCACAAAAAAAAAAAAAATACTAACGCCGTCAGCGAAAAAAGCCCAAAAATGCCACAATTCGCGTTGTACCATCCGATCCACTGGAAATATGGACCTAAAATATCAAGGCGTGTTGCGGCTTTTTAGTGGATTGACTTTGTTTGTTTTCGAAAACTTACACTTTGTCATATTATTATTTTTGCTGATTCCGATCCGCAATTGGTTTGATTCAGGATAAGTTGTTTTATTATTCAAATTTATGATAATTTTTTTTCCAAAATTTCCAAATTTATTTAGAATATAATTGGAATCAATTATTCACTCACAAAACAAATGAAATCGTTAATTTCGATCTGATCTGTTCGATTTAATAGTTCCTAAATGAATGAGACAAAGTAATCGTGGTGCAAGTGGGGGAATGCCTTGGGGCCTGGGGGTAATGTTCTTTTCTTTGTGAAGGAGTAAAAACGATATATTATAAAGAATAAAGATCCTTAAATAGTAGGTAAGATGAAATAAAAGGATGAGAACATAAATAAATGCATAATACATAATAGGTAATAAAAACGCGACTTTAGAATTGCAGTAATAAAATAAATAAAATAAGTACAACCAGTTGTAGATTTGGAGAGTACAGAAAACACAGATTGAGAAAAACTGCGCCCACCATCATCGCCTTCGTCTTCTATCTCTTTCGAGGAATTCCAATTTGTAGCTGTCACAATTTCTCGCAATCACTGGTAAATTCAATTATCGTATATCTCGCATTGATCTTTACTTTTTTTCCAGGTACAAAGGAGAAATAAGAAAGAGCGAAGAGCTAAGCATACATAACAATGGCGGACAAGGGTTCTGCCTCCAAATCGAAATCGTCCAAGAGAAAACGCGACAAGACTTCCTCTAAGGTCTCTCTCTCTCTCTCTCTCTCTCTCTCTCTCTCTCTGTTTAATGTATGCGCTTTATGTATGATCTACGCTGTTTCCGATCAGTTATATCTCTTGTGAACGCCCTTTTAATTCGGTTGATTTTTTGAAGGAATTGAAATTGGGAAAACCCCTAATTTATGAGTAATGCTCTTTTATGGTGAAAAGATTGAATCTTTAGAGCCAGAGAGTAATTAGTTGTGTAAAACCCAATTTGATTTATCATTTTTCTTCAAAAAAAGAAAAAGAAATAGATTTAACCTATAATGAGATCGATTGACCATGATTTGATTCTCCTATTTCTAGGTGAAAGAGAGATGTTTTACTGTTGGTTTTTGTTTTTTTGTTTTTGGCAGAAAAAGAGTCGAAGAAAGGAATCGAAGAAGTCTCGACGTATTCATGATTCACCTTCTTCCCATTCTGACCACGATTCGTTAATCTCGGAACACAGTTCATCCTCCATTGATGATAAGAGAAGGATAAATAAAAACAAGAAGCGTGCTCGTGATTATTCTGACTATAGTTCAGATTCCGATTCCTTATCCGACCGTGAAAACGGTGTTAAGCGCAGGAAGGTGAGAGATTCACGAGTTTCTTCCAAGAGCACAAAGAAAAGGGATCGAAAGAGATCCGTCAGCCCCAAAGCCGTAGTAAGAAAAAAGAAAAGATTGGATAAGGACCGTTCTGTCAAATCAATAAAGAAATCCTCGAAAAAGAAGCCGAAAAAATATTCGAGCTCCGATTCGGAGAGTAGTGGAGATGGTAAAAATCGAAGGAGTAGAATAGTTACCGATAAAGAAGAAAGAGGTCGGGAATCCACTTACAAGATGAGCAAAGTAAGGTCGCCGAGTAGTAGTAGTATTAGCGGCCGAAGTGATAGGGCATTTTCTCCTGTTGTTAATAATACTCGACGTTTGAGATCAGTTATTACTGTTGTTGTTCATCAACCCGATGATGAAGGGGGAAACAGATGGGAGGGGGACCCACAAAAGGAGGAGATTTTTTACGATAAAAACGACTACCCTTCTCCCAAAAGCGTGGACAGTAATAATGCTTGTGGTGAAGAAGTAACTGATCCGATAAAATCAAGAATTGATGAAACGAATAATCTTGAGAAGGAGAAAGTGAGCGATGAATCTGCTCCTGTTGTTGCTGCTTTAGGTGCGGATGTTTTGGAGGCGATTTTGAGGCAGAAAGCTCTGGAAAATTTGAAGAAGTTTAAAGGGAGGCTCCAAACAGGTCCCAAGAAAACCGAACTGAAAATTAATAACGAGACTGATTTGAACAAACCAACCGAATTAGTAAGTGGGCCCACTTTGAAAGAAGATGTTTCTCGGCCGAGGGAGGTTGTTAAGTTCGTCGATAGCGAACTCATTGAGAAAGAAGCTGTAATTGATGAACAGACACCTATTGGGGCAGAAGTCGTAAGATGTTCCGAAGAGGACAAGTGTTCGAATTCTCGTGCTGTTTTGGCCGAAGAATTTGTATTAACTAACGACGATAATAACCCTGCGAATCCGTCTTCTTCGTCTTCTTCTGCAAGGCTAATGTCTGACGAGCATGGCTTGGAACAGAACGATGAAGCTAAGGATGGTTCTCAGTTTAAGAAGAAAACAATGTCTGTGGTGAGGGGAGGTGAGGTGGTACAGGTAAGAATTTTTTCGTGTACCTTAAATTCTGGGAATATTCTTGCGTAGTTCGATATAATTACGATTTTTTCTGATTGAACTGATGGATGTGATATTTTGACTTGCATGATTTGATATCGTCATTTGTTTTTTTGGGACCAGGTGAGCTACAAGGTTTACATTCCGAAAAAGGCCCCTGCTCTTGGCAGGCGACAATTTAAGCGGTAATGTTAAATGTCTTACTTATTAGCTGGAAAGAAAAAACGCGAATCAAGTACCTTCATTGTCGAAAATCTGGAGAAAGAACTTCGGTAACTTATACTTGGAAAACTTTCGAGAATTTTTTTTTTGTTCTGATCTGCGTGTGCACTTGCATGCCATTTATTGTGCTGTTGAATTTGATTGTTGTTGGTCGTCGAAAGGATTTTTCTATTTTGAGCCCTCGTTGGGTATTTGCTCGATTTTCTGCTGTATATTTTCATCTGGTGTATGAAAATCTAATATTTTTTTTCCAACTGAAGAACCAAGTTCTGGACTGGCTTCCGTTTCCCTAGCACTTGTATTGATTCGTAAGGTTTCGGATTCTGCAATCGTTACTTCCTTTTTATCATTTTGCATTTTTTTTCCTTCGACTCAGAATTTTGATTTTTGATTCTACGCTTTTAAGATCGATTATTTCATATTACACCGGTGTATTTTAGTTTTTTCACTTATATTTTATAGTCACACACAACACAATATATATATATATATATATATAACACGTATGTGATGTTATAAAACCGGTTGAAGTTCATCAGAATGAACATAGAACTTCATCATAATATGCGGTGCATAACCAAAATCAGGTTTTAATACACAACTTCAAGAAGAATATGAACTTCATTTTGTATTACATTCATGCATCACTCTTACAAATACGGAAAAAAGCTCTTGCCAATACGGAAACGAGGTACAAACCCGTTTTAAGGTTACAATGACATAAAAAGATAGTCTTAACTGGAACTTGGTTTTGATTTCTTAGAACCACTTATGCAAGCCCAATCATCCATCATCGATACGTTGATGTCCTCAAGGAACTCGGAATAACGTTTCATTACAGATGGAACCTGTACAAATGGTAAAAACTTGTCTCATAATTAGTCTACACATGTAAAGATAAACACGACGATGTAACCATTGCATAGACAATATAATCAAGCTTCGTCAAATGTTTGAGTTTTAGGTTTCGAGCCTATGATAAAAAAAATGGCTCGAATTTAACCAAGCATATGAAGGATATGTAGTTCAAACTCAATGCGCATATCACATTATCACAGATAATATAATCCTAACCAATTCAATCGATCTTATTAATCCCATCAACATTCCCAAAACGAGGCCCGAAAAAACAGTTACCGTATCATTTCATCAAATACTTATCAGCCATTAGAAATGGAAAGTATAATACCTGCTCAGATAAGATTCCAGAAATGCCAATGATAGCACCGGGCTTGCCATACGAGACAATTCCGTCAGCCAAATCCAGCAGTGGATGCAGCAATATATTAGCCACAACCACATCGTACTTGTTTCTCTCCCCAATGATCTTTCGGTTGTACAAATCCCGACTGTCGATATCCTTGGGTGGGAATTCACTATCAAAATCAGGGCCGTTCTTGCTAGGAAAAAGACTTAGCTGTAATTTCTCTGGATCTATGTTGTTCAGAGCAGCATTGTATCGTGCCGATGTAATTGCCTGTGGCTCTATGTCAACTCCAACTGAAAGTTCCGCTCCGAACTACAATCTCAGTATGGAACGAACGACACAGAGTCAGCAATACCTATCTAGAATGTCTCAAATATACAGGAAAATCATATGAAGCATTTTAATCGAGGTACTATTTAGGTCGAAAATTTGGAAATTGATTGCAGCACCAGTTCTCAAAAGCTGTATATAGGTTCTGTGGGGATTAAGTACCTTCAGTGCTGCAATTGCAAGAACACCTGAGCCTGTACCGTAGTCCAGAAAGTATTCTCCTCCTTTTATTAATCGACGCAGAAGCAATAGACACAATTTTGTAGTAGGATGCTCCCCTGTTCCAAATGCCAAACCAGGATTAAGAATTATGTTGGTTGCTTGAAGATCCTGCAAATCCAATTACCCACAATCACATGACTTTCCATCCTCATATCAATTCTTGTAAAACGACAAATAATATTTTACAACACTCGCAAAAACATATGGAAGTTTACAAACAATACCGGGGTTTTTCTCCATTCAGGCACAATCCAAAGCCCCTCTGTAATTTCAACTGGATGAAATGATTCCTGGAATTCATTTATTCGAAAAACAGACGAGTGGCAAAACTTAATTAGCAAGCCGAAGAGAATCCATTCAACTTCATTAGTTGGTTTACTATATTTGCAGTTCAGAACCATGTAAATAAACCCAAACGTGAAAATTTCTCGATTTTTAGAGCGGGAAATTTAGAAGTGCTCTATCCACCGCATACTACAGAAACTGTAAAATTGCGGCTTCCAAAATGTAACAGAAAAAATGGTTACATCATTACCTGAGTTAGTGTAATCCAATCAGTGTGGTCATGCATTTCGATTTTGTAATTAGGCATCTCTGTCAATCCAACTGAATCTGCAGCTAGTGAAATGCAATCTTTCACATCCTGGTCAACACTGAATATAGAGCTTATCCATATCTGTGTACCAAAATTACCATCAGTAAAAACAATTTGAATTATGATAAAACAAAAGCATCATAAATACTAAAAATTGATAAAATATGTCACCTCTTCATCGGGGTCGTAGATATCTTGCTCGTCAATGGTGGTGGAACTAGCTCCAAAACACATAAGAGATTCCGAGAGCACACCCTGGATTCCAAAATAAGCATATCATCGCAAGCAGAAACACACACACACACACACACACACACGGGCATAATGAATAAGAGAAGAAAAGTTCGATTTTGGCTTACGGAAACATGTCTCGGGCAGCAAATGCGAACCGAAAGGTACGGTGCAGTGAGTGAATCGTCGGCAATGGCGGCGCCGCTGCTCAATGGTGGTGTGGTAGAATAATTGACAGCCGCGGAGATGTTGCGCCTCGGCAGTTGTTTCTGCTGCGCCGATTTGGTCGAAGGGAAGTAGGCGGAGCGGGACGGCGGAGGAAGGCGATGGATATGGCGGCGAAAAGAGGAGAAAGTGGTGGCGGAATTGCAGAGTGTTAGGTGTTTGAAGAAATGATTGCGGAGGGAAGAGAGTGCTAGTGTCATCGATTAAAATTCTGTGAGAGAATAATTCATAAATTAATATTTTGGAATAGAATAGAACAAGAAAACAATTTATACAATCGAACTTCTAATTTATGAAATTAATAAGATAAAGAGAAAAAAATGGGGGAAAATTCAATTTTCACCCACCAAGTTTGCTTTTATTTCATATTTGATCCCCTATGTCATAAAAAACATATTTGGTCCCTCGTGTTTCAAATGTTTCAAAAATTCAACAATTTTAGCCATTTCCGTCAATTTTCTGTTAGTACTAACGTAGTCAAGCGTGTGCCCTTCACTGCCTTAACTGACGGACTAAAGGTAAACTGATGGAAACGACAAAAAGTTGTTGTATTATTGAACTATAAGGGACTAAATGAGTTTTTTTATAATATGGTGGACTAAATATAAAATTGATGCAAACTTAAAGGGTAAAAACTGTAATTTTTTCCAACTAAATAACACAATTGATGGAAAAGAGAATCAAATAATAGCGTGGAACAAAAAATAATGTCAAAGATAAAATTTGGTGTTTTCCCCGCAAAGAATAACGGAGCAAAAAGGAAAGAGATGGTGTTCGCCCCGAACCCGTTATCTCTAAGCGTACCCGAACCCGCTTTCGAATCCTGGCTCCGCGACTCCGGCTACCTCGAAATCCTCGACCAGCGCACCACCGACCTCAACCGCCTCCCCGCCGCAACCAAACCCTCCAATTCCGCCGCCGCTGCCGCCGCTTCCGACTCCGCCGCCCCTTCGATAAGTCCTGACGGTGTATTCTTCATCTCACAAATTGTCTCCGGCATCTGGACTCTTCTATCGCTCTTCACCTTCAGCCCTTTCTCGAAGCTCGCCACCGATGATTTCTCCGGCGAGACACCTAGCTGGACTCTAGCCTTCTTCGGCTCCGCCGAATCGTACTCATTTCCGTCTTCCCCCTCTCAGGCTCGCCTCCGTGTCCATGAGAACGTCAAGCGCTTTGCTCGCAATTACGCCTCCCTCATCGTCCTCTTCCTCGCTTGCTCTCTGTAATTACTTACATCTCTCTCTCTGTATATATTATGCATACATTTATTGTGTGTTTGTTGGGGGTTTTTAATTATGGTAATTACCGTGTGTGTGTATTTTGTGTTTGTGCTTGTGGTTGGACTATGAACTGCATTTTGAGTTATGCCTCTTTTGAAGCAATTTTGTGTTTTTTAGGTTTGAATTATACCTAATTGTACCTCAAAACTGTCGAGAAAATTCACGTTTCTTCGAGATATATTTGGGAACATTGATTGGTTATATTATTTGAATCATCTACTGCACTCGATTTTGTCATTGTTTGAAATATTTGAGTGATGATGATGGCAGGTATCAGTTGCCAGTAGCTCTCCTCGGTCTCATTTCATGCTTGGCACTTTGGGATGCATTTAAGTTCAGCGGTGACCGATGGGGGTTGGACAAATATCCCGTTTTCAGACAAACTTTGATTCGTGTTGCTCAATGTGGTGAGTTTTCTTCCTCCTCGATTAGATTCAATTTCTCTTCTCTACCATTTCTGTTAGCTTTCACCATAATAATGGAAACACATGTGTGATTTGAAGTAGAGAATCGATCGTTCATGCTCAACTTGGGAGTGATCTTCAGTTTTTAAAATCCTCGGGTTTTTTATGTATAACATGTGATTCCTTTTCATCTGAATGTGGTTGACTGAACTACGAAAGGCTTTGTGAATTTTAGAGTATGTTTTTCTCAAACATGACTGCTCAATATGAGCAAATTGATAGGAGAGAAAGTAAACACGTTGCTATACTCTCTTTATTTTTCCGATTCTCAATTGTGTCAAGTGTGTATAGAAATTTTTTTTGATAACAGGTGGAAAATAGATTAAAGTCTTCATTTATGCAATACCAGCCTTTGGGAAAGAAAAATGCATGATATAGAATTTCGCACGGAACAACTGTGTGAGCAAATATAAGCGATTCTCGATACTGAAAGGACCTGTTATTCTGCACATTACATTAAAAATTTGAAGTAATCCTTTTCATATCGTCCCAAGCAGAAGAAGTTTTCTGTCTTGGTAAATGTAGTCGGAATTTAATACTTTGCTTCGTCGTGAATAAACTATTATAATACGTTGTTGTTATACTTCAGGGTACTAAATAAAGCCTCTTTTTTGCAGTGACTGCAGTAATTCTATTTATTTCCAATGTCCAGATGGCAATCTTCTGTGCTCTTGGTGTTAGTTATGCAGGTGAGAATGAGTTCTCACAGCCATTTTTTTCAACTTCATATTTACGTGAGTTTATTGACTGACCTATTTTTGCAGTCATGATTCTACATGCCTCGTTTAGAAAGTTGACCCCTGCAAAACAACTGGATGTAAGAGGTGGACATAAGAAAACTGCTAGAAGATGAGGTCTATCAAAATTTTGTTGTTGAAGATGGTTTTCTTTGCGCTGTGATGCTAAGGAGTATGGGTTTTATTGTATCAGATAAACCTGCAGATGAAGAATCTCGAGTTTTGTGTCAGAAAAGCCCAGCCCGCAACTTTGATATAGAGTTAGTTCATCTTTTATCTTTTTCCTAATTTATTTGTTTTTCGCTGTGTTTTAATCTGTTTTCGTAGCTATTGTAGTTATTGATCTTGTACTCCACTGTAAATCTGACTGTAATCTCCTGAAAATGGAAACTTCGTGGACACCTTTTAGGCTTTTACGGCTAAGTAAAAAAATCAAGAAGATAAAATTTTATATGTTTAGAGTTATACGTCTGTATGTTGAAAAGATTTCCTGAGATTTTTTCATACGTCATAGTCTGCTAAACGCTTCTCTGAATTCGGACAATCGTGCTTGCTACATACTGTAGGGGGAGAAATTTGTGTAAAAAATGATGAACGGAAGTTAACTCTTCAATGTGATTTGACTGGTAAAAAAACATCAGTTACGTGTTCTTATAGCTGGTCACAAGATCATCATTTCCGTTCATTTTCTCATGATACTTGTGTATTCGTTTATGTATTTGTTTCGACTTTCTTAATCTTCAAACACAACATGGGATGTGTTGTTGCAATAGAGAATCGTGAAATCAAAAACTAGTTCGTTACTCATTCCTCTTTCAAAAAACAGTAGTGATTGTGTTAAAAAAGATGGATTTGCTTCATTTATCTGTATCTCTTGCGATATAATCTAGAAAACGGAAATTACAGCTACCTCGAAAAATAAATCATGATTGAATTGAATTCTATGATTTTTTAATCCCATATCGTAGAATTTTAATAACCGTGACTTTATACAATAGAAAAAATAAAATTTCGTGCAAAAAAACTTATTTTTTCTATTAAAGCATCCAATAAAATACTATCAGACACTGATTCCAATTTTCAATATCTGTTTTTTCTGTTTAAACAGTGGGGGTTTATGAAATCATTAGAGTCCTAATTAAATTGTATTACTTTTGTAGCCCACAAGCAATTAACATTTCTTCAAGATTTTAGGGCATTAGGGATTGCCTTTTAGTTGTTTAATTATAAGTGTTTATTCTTTTTTTTTTGGTAAACGAAGGAATCCGCAACCAACTAAATAGGTGCACAGAGTAAATCTACACTCTCGTATAATAGTTTGCAAATCATACGAGAGATATAAACCACATTAGGCTAACCATGTTTTCACTTACCGAATTTTTATTTATTTATTAATGTATTGTCAAAAGAAGTCGTGTACATATAACTATGTCACTAGTCGATACCCTTCAAATTACAAAAAACCCTTGTATTTGGGTAATTCTAACCACGCCTCAATATGAATCTTCTTACGAGTGTCAAATTTAGCGGAATCTTCTTAATTATGTGGAATATTCTCTAGTTTGTACCCGTTTTACCCCATTCGATCTTCACATTTGAAACAAGACGATCATAACATGTTTCTCTTGGCTTGTAAATATCAGACTGTGGTGCACATAAACTGCAGTTTTGCGCAAAACAAGTACAAACTAGAAAACATTTCATGGAATCTGGAAGATTCTGTTAAATTTCACGGAAATCCAAGACTTTTCATTTAGAGATGCTTCCTAATATTACACAATTAAGATTTCTGCATCAATGGTTAAAACACTCAGTCAGACAACTCACTTCAAATCAGAAAAAAAAAACTTCTAATCCTTAAAAAATAGACACAATATAATTTTAACATCAATAGCAATCCTTAATTAAAAAAAAACACAATTCATATTTTAATAGCATGACATTCTTTGCATGCAGATACAAACGACTTCAAAATCCTCCTCCCGAACCACGATTTCGTGTCCGATTTCTTCGACCCTTTTCGCTCAAGAACAATTTGATCAGCCACCACCGCCTTATTTCTTGATCTCGAGCTCTGGTGGTTCAAGACCGGTGCCGCCGCAATCAGCTGCCACCTCTGAGAAGTAACACCACCATGCTGATTCTTCAGAGGAGCAACAGGCGGCGGCCTTATGATATTATTATTTTTTCGACTAACGGTGGACGACGACGAAGAAATCGATCTCCTCTGCAGATCAGCCGCCTCGCACGTGCTGGCGCTGGTGCTGGTTCTTGCGCTGCTGCAGTTGCTGCTCCTGCTGTTCGTGCTGTTACTGCGCGACGACATTAAAGAATATTCCCTGCTGCTCATGCTGCTCGCCCTGCTCGTCGATCTTGAGTACGAGTAGTTGCTGTAATTATTCGGTAATGTTTGAATGGGGAAAACGTGGGGTAGCAGCTTCCCGTTGAAGAACAGATGGTCGGCCGGAGATTTCGGGGAGCTCGGCGTCGTCACGGGACCGAACTCGAACTGATCGGAGTCCGTTCCCGACGCCGGAAACGAGAACTTGTTCTCCATTGAATCTAATTCTGATGGTTTAATTACGTTGTGAGATCACAGCATTTTATATATATGAATGTAAAAGGTTTTTTGATGAAATAAACAAAGGTAGGAGAGTTGGTTCTTTTTCTGTCAAAGGGGACCCCTTTGTTGGGGGTGACCATTAAGCATTGGTGGTGGTCTAATTAATTAATTAATCATTGGATCTGGTGTTTAGGGTTGATTAATTTATTAATTAATAACGTGATTAACAATGATTCTTGGAGCGTGCGGCTCATTGTGTGTACTTAGATCATATGTGTACAGATCAGTGCTCCTCACTTTTTTCTTAGTTAATTAGTGCAAGTATAATATTCAACAAAGTTGAGTTGATCGAGTTATAATTAAGAGTTCATAAAATGTTAATTGAGATCTAAATGATGTTTAAGCATAGTAAAATTCGAATTCCTTAATTAGTAAAATGTACAATAATTGATTCATTGTCCTTTTATTTGAAAAATAGAAAATGTAGAAAAAAGAATTACAAAAGAAAGAAAAGAGCTAAGAGCATATTTCCTTTTAGTAGTACTTTAAAGTTTATCTAAAACAGGGGTCAAGAATATTAGTTATAGCCTATGATGCACCGAAACTTCAATACACGCGTGTTCCATGTTTAGGAAGCGTTTCGGAAATCGAAACGCCATGACACATGTCGGAAATTTTTCTCGTAATAATGAAAAAATGGAAACATGCTTCCACAAAAAAGTAGTCCAAAATCCTTTTTAAATAAAGATTCGAAATTACCTATGCTTAAAAAATGTCTGAAAACTTATGTCTTCTTTTCACTTCTAGTGGTGTTTTTTTTAGATGCTAATTGATACTTAAATAAATTTATGGCCGCAAATGTAATTTGTGGAATAATATTTCGAATTGGAACTTGTATATTATATATTTTCTAGATAAAAATTAAAATATGTAGTGGATGATAAGTATATAAGTTAAACGTTATAATATTTTTGAAAAATTATGAATGTACCCCTATATATTTAATACTTACACGTCTCCCACTGGTCTTGATTCAACTTTTTGGAAAATGAGGTTTCCCCGTATCCGCTTTTCCATTTCGCTGTGTTCGCGTTTCCGTGTCCGTGCTACATAAGTTATAGGTAAGTTTTAGCATCATTTCTCAAGAAAATCCATAGCTTTCAAGTCAACAACTGGAGGCAATTTTGAACATTGTATTATTATGACAAACTTCAAAATTGTCATAGGACATGATTAATTAAGCGTAATCAATCTTGAAATATATGTTAATTTCATTTTACAGAATATTGAACTTTTATTGACATTAGTTATGCAGGTGAGAGTGGATGTCGTACACTAGTAGTGTGCCAATTTATAGCAATTACAATTCATACAGTTACATTTTAATAATTATAAATTAATGTTGTCATACTCAATCATTATTATGTATAAGTACCCATTTGTTCTTAAATAGGTGTTATTTTTCACCTCGGTACATGTCTTAATAATCCGAATAAATATGTTTTGATGTTAGGAAAATAGATATTTTTGACTAAAATACCCTTGTTTACTAATTAAAGTATAAAGAGTGTTGGAGAGGTAATAATGACATAATTAATGGAGTATCGAAAATCTAAAGTGACAGATAATACAGGAAAAAAAAAAGTCTCAAACGTGACATATATTGCGGAACGGAGGGGTATATGAAATCCAAATTAATTTGAATAAAAATATAAAATGAGAAAGAGAGTTGAATGAACCGTGAAAAAGAAACATTGATCGGCTGAAACTATAATTGAGATTGTCATAAGATATGGTAATATATATATTATAAGAATCTAAGACCAATTAGTAATGATGTATTCAACATAGACAGTTGTGCGTGGAAGCTAAGGATTAATATAATTAATTTATAATAATACCATGAAATAAAACAAGTGATTAATTGGATAAAACACTTTTGTGCAATCCCCAACAATGGCGACAAGAGAGGGTGTTTGAAAATACAGTGTTCCCCCAAATTAATTAAAGTGGCTACTTTTGGGACCATAAACATCTGTCTTCACTACTTGTTAATCCATTTTGTCTAGGTGTATATATTGTGTGCCTAATTACAACACTTTCTTATGCTGCTTTTTGTTACAAGTGATCGACACCAATGTAGCTACAAGGTTGTTTGAAGTGATTAGTTTGTTACTATAACGAATCAATTTTGAACCAGTATTTTTCTTCGATACTATGAAGTACGAATATTTAAAAAAAAAATTGTTCGAGTTCGATATTAAAATTTATTTAAGCTCAATTGGGTTAGTAGTACTCAAGAAATCAAAAAACTAAAAAAGAAAAAAAAAAAAAAAAAAAGAAAAAAATCGAAATAATCAGGAATTTTAAAGACTGGAAATTGTTTTCCATAATATTTTGACAAAATACCAACGGAGACGAATTATAAGTTGTCCAGCTAGGCAAATCCACGTGGAGAAAGAGTGCCACATCAGCAACTCGAGGAGGGCCACATGTGTGCCACATTTAAATTACTCGTCGACATCATCAAGTTGGTCGGCAATCCTCAAATTTAAGATTTCACGTGTTCTAGATATAAATTTGGAGGCAGCTAAAATAAATATCCACTCTTTCTCAACACCGATTGATCTTTGAGGTATTTTTGATAGGTAGTTGTCGATTTCTGAGGAGAAATCGACAAGTTGCCGATTTTGATATTCGACAGGTTGATGTCGATTTTTTTTCATATTTCCACACGTTGATATAAATTGAAATTTAGTCTACACACTTCATGATATACATATTTTATACACTTGTAATACACCTGATTTCTGTAAATTTATTTAATAAATTAAATTTATATTTAATAGATGACAACTAACTAGCTTAAATACTTCATAAATTAATAAATATTGGATACGAGGAACTAAAATATCATGTGTTCGATTTAAGTAAACTCAAACTCGACTCGTAAAATTTTCAATCTTTACGAAATGTCCCAAACAAGTCGACTCGCAATAAATTAACCTCAACTCAAATAAAATTACCGAATAATCGGACTTCGATTAGATCCAACTCAATTAGGTGTCCACATTATAAATCTATTTTTTTTTAAATAAAATAAAAGTGAAATTGGGAAAACAGTTGGCAGTTGCAGAAGGTGGAGTTAACACGTGGCTAAAAATAGAGGGCTACGTGTCGATCGCATAGGCCTTTGTCATCTCTTACCCTTCTGCACTACTCTTCTTCATCGTCGTTGATCATTCGGTGGTGGGCAAATACATACAGAATATATTATAATCAAATTTTAATTTACGTTATGACCGGAAAGGAAATCATGCACAAAATTAAGGTACCGCCGCCTTCTCATCTTTCATTTTCTCCGACCAACTCTCATATATACTCGGATTTATCTCTTAATTTCTTGTTTTTCGATTTGATATCATATATATATATATATATATATATATATATATATCCTCGTATTTAATTGTTCTATTTATTTATGCTTCCGAGATGCATATATATATATATATATATATATATATATATATATATATATATATATATATATATATATATATATATATATATATATATATATATATATATGTTCATGTGTATGTATATCAGATTAATCATGTATGAACATCAATCACTATTGAAATAAATTGTCATCTGCTAATTGAAATGATTTCACAAATTAGATGATCTGGGAAACTGATCACAACAATTAGGCACTATATATATATATATATATATATATATATATATATATATATAGAGAGAGAGAGAGAATCAAACGACTGTGGTTGATCGAGGCCAAATCTTTTTCTTGATCTTTTTGTTTTTTTTTTTTGATGATTTTTTTCTTGATTATTTTAAATTAGCTACTTATCATTGATATACACGACGATACTGTATGTATTAGTAATTAGACTATTAGGCCAAGCATGTATTAAAGAACAATAAACATTACTCCAATTACATTTTTTCAAACCTCTATATAACATACAAATCTTGTTTTTCGAAACAATGGAGGTCATTGCCCCCGGCCTTATCTTCGTTCGAGTTATATGGTTGCTCGATTTTGTTATGCAGGAGAAAGTAGGTATAAGTGCACCACCGTCCGAGACGGGCAAAGGTAAGAGCAAGATGTCAAAGTACATCACACATGGATATCATTTAGTTGAGGGAAAGTCAACCCATCCGATGGAAGATTACGTTTTTGCTCAATTCAAAGAAGTGGGCGACAATGAACTCGGTTTGTTTGCGATATTCGACGGTCACTTAAGCCGTGAGGTACCCGATTATTTGAAGTCCCATCTCTTCAACAACATTTTGAATGAGGTAATTAAATAACATTCAAGAATGCACAATAATAACAATAATAATAATAATGCCATCCCTGAAAATATGACTCTATTCATGTTTTTTTTTCTTTCTTTTTTTTTTTTTGGTTTTTGGAATTAGCCCGATTTTTGGACAGCTACAGAGAATGCAATAAGGAGGGCGTACCGAATAACGGACACCACAATCTTGGACAAAGCTAAGGATCTAGGCAAAGGTGGTTCGACAGCTGTCACCGCAATACTGATCAACTGTCACAAGCTAGTGGTGGCTAATGTGGGAGATTCCCGTGCCGTAATTTGCAAGAACGGCGTGGCTAAGCAATTGTCGGTCGATCACGAGCCCGAGAAGGAAAGGGATACTATTGAGAACAAGGGCGGCTTTGTAACAAAGTTTCCAGGTACGTATACAATAATATAACTCCAAATAAAATAGTATTTGAACGGTAGACCTGTATTCTTATAGTGAATTAACTATTTGTTAATTAGGTGATGTCCCACGTGTTGACGGACAATTAGCAGTAGCAAGGGCGTTTGGTGATAAAAGCCTGAAGGAGCATCTCAGCTCGGAACCCGATGTGGTTGTGGAGGTGATAGATGACGAAACAGAATTTATTATTTTGGCTAGTGACGGAATTTGGAAGGTAAATTAATTGAAAGTAGTTACATAGTATATGTTTCATTGCAAGAATGAATGTAAGTTTAGTTATGTTTGATATATAATTTTTTGAAATATTTTGATCGTATGAAATGGCCAGGTCATGTCGAATCAAGAAGCGGTTAATTGCATTAGAGACATTAAAGATGCTAAAAAGGCAGCTAAACGCCTCAACGAAGAGGCACTTGCAAGAAAAAGCACGGACGACATATCCTCTGTTGTTGTAAGATTCGGATAGCTCCTCTTCGATCACTTTGTTCGAAAACATGTTTATGCTTAATTTAATTAGTGACATTGGTTTTGTAATGTTTCGTGTTTTGTGAAAACTTTAAATTTGTGATGGACGAAATAAGAATATTATTAGGATAAATAATAGTCTTGAATTGTCATTGTGTTCGACATTCAAGAACGGTAGTTAAAACTCGGAAGTCGAACGGGCATTGTCCGAATAATGCAAATACTTTCTAGTTGATACTATTTTATTCTAGATAGATTAATTCCCATTTTGAAACGATGACAGAAGAGAGCAAGCAAATTCAATTGGAAACATTGAGTTTTTTCGAAAATTACGGTTTTGCTCGTGTGTTGGGCTCGAGCGAGCTCTTCCTTCGACGCTCGTTGTGTCCGGCTAAGCGCCTGCGGCAGCTCCTCTTCGTCTCGTCGAATTCCGTCACCTCGTGAAACCTGATTTTCCATATTGCAATGTTCCTCATTTTTTTTTTTATATAGGTGATTTAAAATATAGAATTAAATAATGTGCCATTTCTAAGGTTTAGAAGGAATTAAAAAAAAGAAAAAAAAAAAAAGAAAGGAAGAAATAAAACCTGCTGCACTGCTGGCAGAATCTTTGACCTAAGCCATCAACAAAGACCACCGGAGCTTTGGCATGAACCTCGCAAACCTTGTGCCTCTGGTAGTAATTCTTACACCCACTCAGATTTTTCCGACAGCTTTCCACCAGACAGCAAGGCGGCGCCGCCGCACCACCACCACCACTCCTCCTCCCGGAAGATCCCTGACCAAGATTCATTTTTTTCCTCTTCAACGGAGACCCAACAAACTCCAACTCAACGTCACTTTCTCCTTCATCTTCCTCGTCATCTCCCTCTGTGATTTTGAGGTATGATGACGTCATCTTTGGGTTATTGGGGTTCTTTTTTTTTTCTTTTTTTTTTCGAAAAACTGTGGTGGTGGAGGAATTAAGATTTAAGAAAGATGAAATGAGAGTACGAAAGAGTAATAAATGAAAGATGGAAGGCATGCTGCTGATGAGTAAAGTTGAAAAAAGAAGAGTACAGATAAAACAGAGTGGAGGGTGTTTTTTTCACACAGATCCACAACCACAAGATCACTGTTGTATCTACGTACAGAATCTGGTTGTACTTTCTCTGCACGTACAAATACTGCAGTTTAATCATGTGACGAATGAAACAGCCTGTGACCACCATTTACAACATGATTGAGGACTTAATTTTTATTTAATAATATAGGAAAACAAATAGATTAATTATACTCTGTTTTGATTAAAGATGTCCAAAATTTCATTTGTTAAAAATTATTTGACTAGTTTTTGTACGTAGCATGTTATATAACTAGAGCCAACTACGGTTTATTTTCCTTTTTAATTCTTTCTATAAGCGAAACGGCGAAACTCGAAGAATCATCACTAACACAGACATAAAGTCGATCGCATTATTAAGTTTAATAAAAATGTGTTCACGTTTTAGTTATGTATTAGCAATATTTGCACTGTAGATAATAAATTAGTTAGAGATATAAATGCTTCAGTTGTGCATTATATTCACGTACATAACAACGGTCGGTAGGTTGAGCTTGTCACACATCATGGTTAGCCTAGTGTGGTTTACGTCAGCGTATGGTTTGCAAGCTATTATACGAGAGTGTAAGTTTACCCAGTGCACCTATATGGTTGGCTGCGGGTTCTTTCGTTACCAAAAAAAAAAAAAAAAAGATTTCTTCGTTCTCTCTCTTCAATGGCTCCATAGCTTAGATCTTGATATGGTATCAGTTATTTCTTATGCAATTCGTTCATAGATCAATTTTGATCTCTTCTTGATCTATTTACTTCTACGTATTCAGTTTGTCCATACTTTCGTTATCGATTGAGCTTGATCTTCATTAATGGCGAACAATCGGACGTGATGCAATTCAATTGAGGATCCATCGACGTCGTACTTCCTTCACCCATCTGAAAGTCCTGGTTTCACACTCGTTTCACAGCTCCTTACATGTGACAATTATTCTTCCTGGAGTCTTGCTGTGATTATCAATGGTTTCAAATTTTAATTTTTTATATAAACTAATTAATTATCAAAAATTACAGAAGCACATTACAAATACCATAAAGTATATATTGTGCCATTGAGAACTCAATGGCACAAACATATTTTAGAATCCAAATCATCAAAATCATTTTGAATCCAGCTCTGTGACTTTTGATTAAAACTGCATTTTCTTTGATTATGAATAAATTATTTGCAATTCCGTCACAAACATATTTTAGATTTTATTCTTTTTTGAAAATTTGGAATGATTAAATTTAAAACTGTGCTCTATAATCTTGGTACCAAAATCAAGAGATATCGAATTAATTTTAATTTTAATTTTTCACACATAATCATATAAAATACATAATGACATGATTATTATTATAAACTTCTTCTTTAATAATTAATATGAAGCTCTGAACCGACAGTCTTATGCTTTTTACTCCAACAAGAAACAAACAATGTAACGAAGATTAAAGTTCGAAAGAACAAAATAAAACCCTACTTCCATTACTACTACTTCTTAATCCTTCAGGCCATAACCCCCGGCCCGTCTCCTTAAATCCTCCACGTGTTTGTCGGAACCCGGTTTCCGGCGATAATCACCGGAATCATCATCATCATCATCATCCGCCACCGAATCTCTCACACTCTCGGTGGTCTTTCTGGTGGCGTCCCACACACCGTCCATCGTCCGCTTCGCCATTTCCCCAATCTTCAGCCCCGTCTCCATAGCTCCCACAACCCCCATCTTCGCCATCTCCGCCACCGACGCCGCCGCATCTTCCATGTCCTTCTCCTCCCGCCGCCGCCGCTCTCCGCCCTTATAATTTCCCCTGTTCAAATTTCCCGGCCCACCGTGCCCAAGGCTTCCGGGACCCTCCGACGCCAACTTGTAATCACTCGCTACATTCGAGATTCCAGACCCGCCGTAGCCGCCCTCGGATCCTTCCGCCGCCGGGTCTGATTTTTTGCTAAGTTCCCCAGGCGTTGCGCCGCCGCCCTGTAAATAATTAATTCAAATGAAACACACACACACACACACACACACACGCACACACATAATATATATATTTTATTATATTATATATACCTTATGTTTAGCTGATAAAGCGCTGAAGCAAGCTACATTTTTGTTGTCGAAGTAACGATGAACGAAGCCACGGTTGAGAATAGCGCTTGTTCTTGCAAACATTTTCTTTTTAATTAATTATTAGACGGTAATGAAATTCGAACAATTAGCACTGGGATCTAATATAGGACGGGGTGGCTCCACGAATTGATTTTGGTATCTCTCTGTGAGCGACACGTGTGTTACACACGTATGCTTCATGCACGTGACACGTGCTTTCCCCGTGTCTCTCGTTTTTCGTCTTTGTTCCGTTACTTGGGGCCTCAATTGTTCTGGACTTTCTAGGCTAGTTCACCCAACCGTTGGGCCTCAAGTTAGAAGTTTGGAGCTTTAGCCTATACCTTTTAAGTTTGAAAAGTATTATTAAAATTTAATAATAATATAAACTTCATCCAACTCTATCATAATATTTTTTCAAAATAAAAATAGAATTAGGATTTATAGAATAAATTAAAAAACTTGTTTAAATTATAAATTTGAGTGTAAATTACAACCCTCCCTAAAGTAAAGTCTATTTATGAGAAGATACCTTATTGCTTCATAATTACATCCATCCTTAAAATTTTGTAGGTCTTTTATATTAATGCGCTTTTATAGGGTTGAATGTCTTAATTTACAAACTGCACGGGAGTGGATGTAATTTCTCAAAAGTAAGGATATCCTTATAATTATATTTTATTTCATGGAGGTGGTTGTAATTATACTAAATTTTAAGATCTAAAAAGGCAGAATTCAAAATTCTTTTTTTTCCACCATGTGGTTACAAATTTTTACAGATGACCCCTTATACTTTTAATATCAGCACATAACCACTCGTGGTTAATTGTAGTAGCTTTCGTTCGTTTTTCCGTCAAACTTAACCTCCAGTGTCAAACGTCAAAGTATTTTTTTGCAAAATGCCCCCTTGTGATTTCATTTTTTGCAGATAACCCCCTTGAAGCTTGACATACGCGGTTAAGTTTGATGAAAAACTAATGAAAGCACTCATAAACCACAAGGGAGTGGTTATATATATGCTGAGATTACGAGCATAAGGGGGGCCATCTGCAAAAGTTTGTGACCGCATTGGGTGGGGTTAAGTGCTATATACTTTGGGGTAAGTATAGATAAATCCCCAAATACAAACTTAAAGCGCGAATCAGTCCCTACAGACGTTTTATAGGCAGATCAGTCCCTACTGCAGAGTTTCACTCTCTGTCTCTCTCTTCATTTAATTTTTCTCTCTCTTCCTTTTTTCTTTCTTTTCTCTTTCCTCTTTCCTATTTTTCTCTTTCTCTTTTCCTTTTCTTTCCTTGCCCCGTTCCAATTCAAAACTCAATTTTCAGTTATTTTTCTTTAAACAACAAATGAAAAGGCGCAAGAAAAAACTCGTGAAGAAAACAAAATGAAAAGAGGAAAGAGACTCACTCTCGAAGAATTGTGAAGGGGAAGAAACAAGATTTGATTTTTTTTTTCTAGTCACATATTTAAAAGATGTTTGATAGTTTAATATATGTTCTAAGAAAGACGCTTCTCGTATTATTTTTTGAAACATTTTGTGTTTTATGTGACTGCAGTAGTATATGTCGTATTAAACAATAGTAGTGCTAGTGTGGTTGGATGGTGTTGAAATAAGAGATGAAAAGTACTAGTATTGCTAGTCATGTAGTAGAATAAATGCGTCAACATAGTACGCTTACGTCTAGAATCAAGTATATTTGGTTCAGTGGTGAAGTACGTGTTGTCTAAGTGAGTATCATGTCGGCATTTTGAGTCATTTCGAACTCTAAACGCAACACCATTGTTCATCAATCTTAAAATAATCATTTAAAGTATATTTTATGTCCCTCCCACACTCACTAATCACTAAATTTATTATGAAATTGGTACAATTCAATTCATTATAATTATGGTACAATTTATTCTACATAGAAATGAATGCATTACACCAGTGATGCTCGTGTTGTCCATTCATAGAGTACGCTTCTTTCAATGAAAAAATAGATGTTCTCCATTTATATACGGTACGCTTGCTTTATAGATATTATTTTGGAACCAATGCAACAATATAAACTCATTTTCTGAGGCATTCCTTAATTTTATGACTAATTACATGAAATGAGATAACGTGGGAATCCATCAACATCAATTATGGTAACATTTGAGAAAAATACTAGTCCTACATACAAGTCTTGTACTATATGTGAATATCATGTAGGAAATCAAACACATTTGTGGACTCCAAACGTAACACCAATGTTCATCAAACTTAAAATACTCATCTAAAACATAATTTATGCATCTCCCATACTAATTCATCATTACAGTGTCAAGGAAATTGGTTCAACTCAATTTATCACAAAATATAGTATGTTTTGTTCCACAAATTATAAGTACAGTGTATAAACTGGTAAAGTTAGAGTTATTCATGCATATAGTATTGCGAGTTTATTCATAAAGTATATGTTGTCCATTCATATTGTACTGTTATATTCTTTATATTATTGTGGGGCCAATGCATCCATATAATATCATTTTAAGACGCATTTCTTCATTTTAAGACTATTAACATGAAATGAGATGATGTAGGAGTTGATCAACATAGATTATGGAACATTTGAGGGCAATTTTAGCTCTACGCATGAGCCTATACACTTATATGAGTATCATGTAATAAATCCAACACATTTATGGTATCTTGTACACTTATATGAGTATCATGTATGAAATTCAACATATTTATGGCATTTTGTACTCCAAACGCAACAATAATGCTCACCAACCTTAACATACACATCTAAAACGTAATTTATGCATCTCCTATACTAATTGATCATTAAAGTGTCATGGAAATCGGTATAACTCAATTCATCACAAACTATAGTCCAATGTGTGAAACACGTAAGTACAGTGAATACACCTGTGAAGTACATGTCTAGAATTGACACGGTATCTTCAAATAAACTAGAAAATATGTGTTGTTCATTAGTATGGTACGCTTATACTATTTATATTAATTTGTGGCCAAGTCAACCATGTAAACTCAACTCATAACACAACATAGTACCATGACTTCAACAGTTAAGTACAATACATCAAAATATATGGTACAATGTTTTCAGTATAAAGTACGAGTAGAGTTGACCAATAGTATTGTTAGCTATATAACAAAGGACATATTCGTGCAACTACATACACATAATTACAATTATATCAAATATAACCCACTATAAAGTTCCACTACTAGTATTTACAATATCCTCTTTCAACACCATCCAAATGCACTAGGAATACCACTATTGCATATGGCATATACTACAACATCACCAAGAATAATACAATAAACCTTTTTCCCATTTCCTATATCAAAGTCATCAAACATCATACATCAAATCCTTGCTAGGACTAAAAATGCTTTGGGAACATGCTAATATCGCCGAAGAATAATACTCAAGAGAAGAGTGTTCAAAATCGACAATAAATAAATGATCTTTACAAACTCGAACAACAAAATAACAAATGTTGGAACCGAGTTAATGATTAGGGGAAACAAGTCAAATCTTATTTCTTCTCCTTCACTATTTTTCGAAAATGGGTCTCTCTTTCCTCTTTTTTTTTTTTTTTTTTGTTTTTTTCTTCTTCTACTACCTTGGTTCTTCGTTTTCTTTGTTCTTGTTGCTTCATTTGTATTGATTTATGAGTTTGTTTTCTTGCGCATTTTCGTGTTCATTTTCGTTTGTTGTTTGAAAAAAAATAACATAAATTGAATTGGAACAGGAAAGAAAAGAAAAGAAGAGAGAGAAGAGACATAGAAAAAGAGGAAAGAGAAAAGAGAGAAGAAAGAGAAAAGTAAGAGAGAGAAAATGAAAAAGTATGTAATTTCAGATTAAAGTAAAGGGTATTTTAGAATTTTCACTTGCCTCTAGGGACTAAACTGCATGTGAAACTTTGCATTAGGGACTGATACGTCTATAAAACATCTGTAGGGACTGACCCGCACTTTAAGTTTGTGTTTAGGGATTTATACGTACTTACCCCATATACTTTTGGGTGGGGTTAAGTGCTATATACTTAAATATAAAATAAATAATAATATTTTAATTAATATAGGAGAACTAGAAATTCTAAAATCATTTTCAATTTTTTTTTATTCAGAATTTCATATATATATTACAATTTAAAAAAATAATAAAAATAAAAATTATGATTCAATTTTTTTTTATTTTTTTTTTAATTTCTGGTAACATAACAACTAGTCATTTTCAAATCGTTTCACAATTTAATGTTATGTTTGGCCCCGATGGGTACGTAATCGAGGTTTCAAATCGTTCCATTTTTAAACTGAAGAGACGCAGTAAATCACCGTGGTGGACAGATGTCGGAGATTAGGAGTGTGGGTGTGGTCGGAGCCGGCCAAATGGGTTCCGGAATCGCGCAATTAGCCGCCGTGAACGGCCTTCAAGTCTGGCTTCTTGACTCCGATTCGGCGGCTGTCTCTAAAGCCCATCAATCGATATCTTCTAGAATCCAGAGTCTCGTCTCTAAAGATCTTCTCACCAAGGTATTAATAATTATTATTAATTCGTGTATATCGTCACCATTTTTAGCAATTCCACTGTGTTTGATTACTGCTAATAATCATGGATTCCTGAATTGTTAGCATTAATTAAGATCTCGCCACTTCCGATTGAAATTCTTCAATTAGGTCACCAGATTTTTTTAATTTTTATTTTTTAATTTTTGGGGGAAAAAAGTAGTTGGATTTTGCTGTTTACAAGGGCCGGTTGACTCTACAAATCCATTTTTTTCCGACAGGAAAAAGGTGCCGAAGCTGTAAGAAATCTAAGGTTCACTTCGAGTTTGGAAGATTTTCGTTCGGTGGATATCGTAATCGAGGCAATTGTGGAGTCTGAGGAGGTGAAGAAGAAGCTGTTTGTTCAATTGGACAACATTGTAAAAGATTCTGCAATCTTGGCATCCAACACCAGCTCGATTTCAATAACTCGTATAGCTTCTGCGACAAGACGACCAAGCCAGGTTTCACACTCGTCACTTTACATAATTCATAATAATTGCTTTGGTTTACATTGCTTTCGTAGTTGTGGTTGATTTGTACTGCAAAAGATTACAACTTGGACCGATAGATTTTTGTACACAATTTTGCGTTTGTCGATTACTAATGATTCTTTGATCCGAATGGTGCTTGCTAATGATTCTTTGATCCGAGAGTTATTTAATTTTGGTTTTCGTTTTCATTTCGTGTATATGTAACAAAGTTTATTTTTACCACCTGGGGTGGAATTGGAACCAAAGTTTCCGAATTCCGCCGGTCCCGATCCGAAAATTTCCGATTTTGTACAATCCTTTTCATTCTGAAATTCAGAACTTCCAATTTTCGATTGATCTGAATTTTTTGGATCAGAATTGGAATATATTGGGATTCTGATTTCGGATCCGATTTTAATTTTCGAAAAATAATTCCAAAAAATCCCAATTTTTTTCCCCCAGAAAACTACACTTATAATGTCAACATTATTATGTATTTTATATTATAGGCTCATAAAAAATGGAATATCCGATTTCTGCCGATTCCGATCCAAAAATCTTCTATTTTCTCCATTTTTTAGAACGGAGTTGGAATTAATTTTTCACTTCCAAAAAAAATTTGAAAGTTTTCCAAAATTCCTAAATCCAATCCGAAATGTCCGATTCCCGCCCCTGTTTCCACCACATGTTTTTTTTCTTCTAGCTAACTAATCATTGTACCGTTTTCAGGCTCCAGCTAAGTACTTTTTATCGGCTGCAGGTTATAGGAATGCATTTTATGAATCCTCCACCTGTTATGAAACTCGTGGAAATAATTCGCGGAGCCACTACATCTGATAATACATTTAACGCCACTAAATCCTTGGCAGAAAGGTGACTATATACTTTCTTTTTTCTTTTTCTTTTTATTATTAATTAATTAATTAATAAATAATCAATGGATTTTGTAGGTTCGGGAAGAAGGTAATTTGTTCTCAAGACTATTCCGGATTCATCGTAAACCGAATTCTGATGCCAATGATAAACGAAGCATTCCACGCGCTTTACACAGGAGTTGCAACAAAGGAGGACATTGATACAGGAATGAAGCTCGGGACAAACCATCCGATGGGCCCACTTGAACTGGCGGACCACATTGGGCTCGACGTTTGCCTGTCGATAATGAAAGTGCTCCTTAACGGACTTGGCGATAGCAAATACTCGCCATGCCCTCTGCTCGTGCAGTACGTTGACGCGGGCCGCCTTGGTAGGAAAAGTGGTGTTGGTGTCTACACTTACAGTAAAATTTGAAGGGCAAAAATGTAATGAGAAGCCAATTTAAATTGATGTCTCAAATGCTTGTGAACTTATGTAATAATAATGTTGTGTATAGTTTGGATGAATTGAAATCTAACAAGTGCTGAATATTTTTATGCAATATTAGCAACGTACCATTTTAATTAGTGCTGAGCAAAAAACCGAAAAACCAAAAAACCGAGCCGTTTCGAACCGTTCTGAATAAGCACATAACCTCCTTGTGCTTTGCAAAGGGTAGCGGACGTTAAAGTTTTCTGTCAAAGTTAACAGACCGTGCGTTTTAAACGATCAGAAATCACGTGAGACTCGTTTAATAGTTATATACTTGTTTAAATGATTTGTGCCCTTTGCTATTAATATAAAAATCTTACCCATCTTCTGTGTCGTCTACAACTGACCCACTTCCATGGCCTCTTCCACCTTTTGGATTTATTTATGGTTTTATTACCAACCAAAAGTGATGGTGACTTGAATTTTTATTCTTATTATGCAGTGGGTGAAAAGTGGGGTTATTGAATTTATCTTCTTGTTTATCGAATATAAGTCTTCTTGAATCAAAGTTCATTTAATATGTGACTGTGAAAATGTCTTCACAAGGCGGCGACCCTGAGGCGGTCGAGAGTCAGCTTCGGCCGCAGAAGAAGGCGGCGGCGGAGACGTGGTGGAACAAGGTTGTTGACGTGGAAGAGGCCAAGGATCAGATACTTTTTGCTCTGCCGATGATACTTACAAATGTTACGTATTACTTTATACCTCTCGTGTCAGTCATGTTTGCCGGCCACCTAGGCAACCTTGAGCTCGCCGGCTCTAACCTCGCTAATACATGGGCTTCTGTCTCTGGTTTTGCTTTCATGGTAATTACTGTAATTAACCCTCCTCAGATTGAACATCTAAGTCCCATTGATTAATAGGTTAAGGGTCCATCAGAATTAGTACTATTTGTCACTCCCTCAATTTTACAATAACTGTCATTTTATATAAATATTTGTCTACATTATATGTCGTTTAAGGGTACCAATTCCGCATTAAATGCAGTTTTTTTTTTATATTTTACCTTTATTAATTCGACTCCCTCTTGTCACATCATTAAGTAATGAGTGTTATTTTAGTTTCGTTTACGTGTTTCTTTTTTCCTAAAATCAAATCGTATTTATTGAGATTCTGATGAATTGTCTAAATGTGAAAATTGACACTTATTAAGGAACGGTGGAAGGGCAATAATTTAGCATCGTTTGGTTACCAAGAACGAAAAAGTTATCGGCCTAACTAAACATCCAGTAAAATCCAATTAATTAATTAAACATGATAATCCTACCATCAGAACGAGTTCTTATTGAAGTTTGTTTCCACTAATTGGTGTAGGTTGGGTTAAGTGGTGCACTCGAGACATTATGTGGGCAAGCATTCGGAGCGAAAAGGCACCGGGCGTTAGGAATATACCTTCAGGCATCGTGCATCATTACACTAATCTTCACAATCGTAGTATCTATCCTGTGGTGGTATTCTGACGTTATACTGACATTACTACATCAAGATCGTCAAATTGCAAAAGCAGCCGGTCTCTATCTCAAGTATCTCAGTCCCGGTTTCTTCGCCTACGGTTTATTGCAAAACATATTAAGGTTTCTACAAACACAATCTGTTGTTATGCCACTTGTCGTGTGCTCGTTCGTTCCTCTTGCCCTACACGTTGGAATTGCCTATACTTTGGTTCACCGGACCCCACTTGCATACAGGGGAGCTCCATTAGCAGCTTCGATTTCGTTATGGTTATCACTTTGTATGTTGGTCTTATATGTTTTCAAAGCCAAGAAGATTGAGAAAACTTGGGAAGGGTTCACTTCGGAGTCGTTGAGTTACGTTTATTCCAATTTAAAATTGGCTTTGCCTTCTGCAGCTATGGTTTGGTGAGAATTTTTCCAATTGTTTCATTTATACTCATACAAATTCTCGATTTTTATTTTTTTTTATTTTTTACATATTTGGATCAGCATGGAGTGTTGGGCTTTTGAGATTCTTGTTTTGCTAGCAGGATTGATGCCAAACTCCAAAATTAGTACCTCTCTGATTGCTATGTGGTCAGTTATATATTCTTTTAGTCGTGTAAATTGTATTTTTTTAATTACATAATTTCGAACACCCTTAAATAAAATCTGCATTCGTCACGGCTTACACGTGGATTTTGGACATCAAACAGAAGAAATTATTTTAATCCCGAGTGCAACGTAAAATAACCACTATACATTTACAGTGTGAACACACAAGCCATTTGCTACATGGTTGCATATGGCCTAAGTGCTGCTGCCAGGTAAAAAAAAGTCGACATGTTTTTCGAATTTTTCTTATCTTATCGTTATTTATTCGAGTATTGTATTGTAAATAAATGTCGTTGATATATATTTTAATTGCAGCACGAGGGTGTCGAATGAGTTAGGAGCTGGAAATCCAGACCGAGCTAAACGAGCAGCGGTTGTCACTCTTAAGCTAACTCTTGTTCTTGAACTATGTGTTATTTTAGCACTCTGTTTTGGACATAATATTTGGGCTAACGCCTTCAGTCACAGCCCTGTCATCATTAAAGCTTACGCCTCGATGACACCCCTACTTGCGGTGTCTGTATCGTTCGATTTCGTTCAAACAGTCCTATCAGGTTTGTTTCACTTCTGGAAAATATTAAAACCTAGTAATTTATTTGAAGAGCTTTTTTTTTTCCCGGCAAATTAGGGCCACCCCTGAGATAAGTTCAAATTACTAAAAAAATCCATCATATTTGGATAATTACAAGGCGCAAATTGCTTATGACCCCTTAAAAATTTCTAATTTTTGCACTTTACTCCCTCATAATTTTAAAAAGTGAATGCCCCCCTTCAAAATGTTATTTTTGTTGCACATTGCCCCCATATCAAAATTTCGATGGATTATTCATTGTAATTGAGTATTTTTGTTGTACGTAACTTTATATGTTATTTTTGTTGCACATTACCACTTAAAAACATCATCTTTTGTACATTGCCTCTTTAAAATGTTATTTTTGTTGCACAATGCCCACCAAAAATGACTTATGGGGCAAAGTGCAACCAAAATAATATTTTGAAGGGGTATTATCCGGTTTTTTTAATTTTTAAGGGGGAAAGTGCGAAAATGAGAAATTTGTAGGGGGTGAAGTGCATTTTGTCCTACTTAGAATCATCGCCTCAACTATGTATTATCTTACACGTCCACCATTACGATGTCAAATTTACCTAAGGAAGTTCATCGGCTTGGTAAAATGATTCAGCCGAACCAAACCAAACGAAAATTCAGTACGTGCTGATTAACGAAATGGGAATTTGGTTCGGTATTCGATTTTTTAATTATATATATATATATATATATATATATATATATATATATATATATATATATATAGTATTTAAATTAAAATCTATTGAAAACATCAAACTTGTAAATATTTTTAATAGAACTTTGGTATTCGATTACCGAACCGAACCGAACTACATATTTCGGTTTTGTAAACGGTATGCAGATTTGGTGTACCGAAATTTCGGTACAACTTTATCGAACGAATGCTCCTAAATTTACCTACTGGAGGAGTTTTTTTTCAAAAGACAATACATAGTTAAGGGAGTGGATGTAAGTACCCAAACATGATGGATTTTTTCATAATTAATTAATTTTGCTGCAAATATTGTTATATATAGGGGTGGTGAGAGGATGTGGTTGGCAGCATTTGGCTGTTTTTATTATTGTAGGTACTTTCTATTTCATTGGCATGCCTATTGCTGCTCTTCTTGGTTTCAAGTTCCACCTACATGCCAAGGTATTTATTATTAAGACCTCCTATTTTCTTTATTTTCAGACAACCTTAATTTACATTTTACACAAACTTGAAAGTTAATTATTGTAATAACATGCAGAAAATACTATATTTCTTTTTTTTATTGAATGTGACATTGTGGTTTACGACAGGGATTGTGGATTGGATTAATCTGTGGGCTATCAGCCCAGTTGACAGGGCTATTGTTGCTTACCAAGTTCACAAAATGGACAAGAATAGAGCTATCTCAAGATTCATCAACTCAATCAACCCCGGACGAATAATCGTTTCGTTTTTATTTTCTTTCTACTTAATGTCGTAGACGATAAACTTGATGTCGCAGTTCCACGGAAGTTGCCTTGCGAGATAAGATAATATACCCTGGCAGTTGATTAGATATTTCTTCCCTAGCCCAACAAGTATTTGATGAAGGAATGTTAATCATGGGTGACTCAACGGTACGTTAGGGTAGCGACCCCGGACCTGAACAATTATAAACTTTGGTTATGAATGCAGTTGTTCGGGTGCTTTTGAATTGGTTACTATATTCCACTTATTTCTTGGAAATATTTCTTAGATTAAACACAAACCTATTGTGAGTTGTCCAACGCAGATTTCATGTTCATGACTTCAATCGGCTGTATCATATAATTCGGTTAAGGATTAAATATTAAAGAAATGGTTAAAGATTAAATATCTAAAAATTATACAATAAACCCCTCCATAAATTAAAATCATTACATTTACACCCCTAAGGGTATTTTGGTCCGACAAAAAAAATAGCAAATCAAAAGGTCACACATACATGGTTAAATATGGAATTTAAACAAAATATACTCTGGAATTTTAAGATTTCATCAGTGTTAACTCCGCAAGGGGCTAATTGTAAGAATAGATACACTTAAGGGCTTTGGTCATAATTAGGGTTAATAGCATTTCGCCACATAGACTTTGCCCGTTTTTGCACTTTACCACCTTAACTAAAAAAAGTTACAAGGCCACATCCAAACTCACTTTTTTTACGCACATAACCACCTACAGAGAATATTCCGGCGAATCTTCTCATTTTCCGGCGCACGCGCGATGCACATGCTTAATGGAAGGGTTTTTTGGTCATTTCATCTCAAAATTTTTGTGGGGCCTTTTTTTTCTCTCTCTCTCTCCCTTTCTCTCTCTCTCTCTCTCTCTCTCTCTCTCTCTCTCTCTCTCTCTCTCTCTCTCTCTCTCTCTCTCTCTTTCTCGGACACCCACACATATATACACATCCCCATCATCATCTTCTTCTTCTCTTCGAAAATGATGGGGATGAACTGCAGCTCTTCGGAGTGGGCATTCTCTAGCGGTTTCTGCAGGAGGACGCCTCCCCCGATCACTACAGCACCACCGTACATCGGTGAGATCGAAGCCAACTCCAATCGTAACGATGATAATCCACGGTGACAGATTGCGGCGGTGGTGGGCCCACCCCCAATATTCCTCTAGATTTTGAGGAGTATCAGGCCTTACTTAAAAGCCGCCTCAAGTTGGCCTGCACCGCCGTCGCTTTGTCCTTGCTACAAGCTTTTTTTCTTATCCAATTTCATTTTTTAAGGAAATAGGGAAAACAGTAGAATTCCATCTTTGATGATGCTAGGTTGATAATTTGTACCATATGCTTTATGTTGTGTACCTTATGGCTCTTTCCACATATTTAATCTCCATCTTCTGTATAATTTATGATATTTACTACAATATGAGTTCTCTATATCTATATATTTATTCTTTTACTTACAAATACTGAAAAATGGACATCAATTTGTGCTTGTTAAGGTGGATGATTCTTTGAACATGATTGAAGAAATGGTCAATAATGGAATCAGACCTACGATTTATACTTTCACAGTTCCCATCACAGCATTGGTCGTGGAGTTTCTTTTGGGAAAAGATTGATTCTTGATAAAAGCACAAAGAAAGAAGAGAAGAAGAAGATGATGATGGGGGATGTCTGTATGTGTGTGGGTGCGAGAAAGAGAGAGAGAATAAGAGAGAGAAGGAGAAGAAAAAATAAAAATAGGGCCCACAAAATTTTTGAGGTGAAATAACCAAAAAACCCCTCCATTAAGCATGTGTATCGCGTGTGTGTTGGAAAATTAGAAGATTCGCCGGAATATTCCTCCTAGGTGGTTATGTGCGTCAAAAAAGGGAGTTTGGGTGTGGCCGTGCAACGTTTTTTAGTTAAGGTGGTAAAGTGCAAAAACGGGCAAAGTCCAGGTGGCGAAATGCTATTAACCCTCATAATTATGCAAACAATAGGTGTGTTTTTTGTAGTTTGACTTTACCTGAGGGGGTTATCGTAATTTACCCATTTAATTATATGTTACATATGTAAAGAGCTTCAAGACACATCAGCTAAGAGTGAGTGTTTACACAAACACATAAATTTAGAGAGCACTGTAAAGAAGATCGGAGATATGTATATAGATAATAGATTAATTATCTTTCATGAGTTTTATGCGTATGTTATATTGGTGCGAGAGTGAGGTCATCAATAAAAATGAGAAGTGCTCGATCAATAAACTGTTTTTTAACGTATATTCACGTTGTGGATTAATGTACATTTTGGTAGAGTCATTCATGTAAGTAACATGTGAGTTCCAACATGGTGTACAAATTTATCGCGGAGAATTTTTGTTGGGATAGAATATGGGGTGATTTAAGAAAATAATTTTTTTTTCTGGACTAAAAGTACATAAAAATAAAATTTGGGGGGCGAAAGTCTATAAACTAATAGATAAATATCAAACAAAAATAAAAATACTAATAAAAAAATTGTTATCCTTTTTTATTTTCCTGCAAATGTGGGCCCAGTCTCTTACTGGGTCCGACCCTTATTGCATGTGATTTGAAGTGGCCGGCGGAAGTGATTCGTTACATTATCCAAATTCCGACTGACCTATTTTTAGGAATTTTAAAGCAACACCCCATGTTAATCGATAACATTTAGATACATATTCGACATTATTAATTTAGGATAAATGTATCTAATGAAATATAAAATAAAAGTTAATAGAATATTAACTCGATACGTGCAATGAACGTGCACCTTTTTAGTATTTATAAAAACAACAAAAAGAGCACCGACACCATCTCTATTGATATGAGCGTCTTTCTCTCATTGATACTAGTCGGACCTACATTCTATAGATAGGAATACTTAGTCCATCAATACATTTGACTTTTATAGTGTGAATTATTGATGATCCACAAAACATATAATTGTTATGATAGCAACTTCAACGGAGTAGGGTTTCTAAAAATCCTTGAAAATACAAATTTTGGATTTTGTAAGCAAATAAAAATGTATGTTGTTTGTCTCTAACTACTACGTCAACTTTGTTTCCGTAAAAATAGTCATGTTATGAATAGATGTCGTATGCGTCTTAGGGCTAGAGAGTTATGAGAGAACACTCGCAAAACACATAAACACGAGTGTGAAAGAGATAGGGTTTGCTGCTATAGTTACTGCAATTAGTATCTAGAAAATCTCTTGAGTGTTTTTGAGAGGTGTCCTGATCTTTGACTGTTTGTTAAAGAAAATTCAGTAGCCAAACATGGAGAAGAAAGAAGATATTCTCTTCTGTTTTTTTTTTTATATTAAAACTCACGTGAACTCTAGGTACAAGTGGTGGTCTCTTATATAGACTTTGTGGTGATTAACAAGATAAAGATAAATCCCACAAAATATAATTCTAGTTAATATGGTAAAAAGTGCTCTACGTAGGAATCTCTAATATTTTGGGTTTGTTGAACTACCTTACACATTTGGACTCTCTTTTTGATTATCATCTTGGTTTAAACTCATTGTCGTTGGAACTCCAATATCACCCAACTTCTCTCCGCTAATTGTGATTAGATCGTGAGAATATTCATCCTTATCTCTCCAATAGTGTTTAGTCTTCTTATTACTCCGTTCATTCTCACGATCATTCATAGTGACGGGCTGTGGCAGGTTTCTTACATTTGTAACTTGAATCTCTTTGAGATTGTGCTAGTGAATTGCACTACCAAAAATATGGGCTTTTGTGACGGAGATTTTTGTCACTGAATTGAGGAAAATCCGTCACAAACAGGCTTTGGTGACGGAGGTGTGACGGAATTCGTCCGTGAAAAAACGCCTCGTCACTAATTAAAATAGTGACGGTTTTTTTCAATCCGTCACACTTTGGTGACGGAACATTCTGTCACAAATACCTTATCGAACTCCCCTAAATTTAGTGACGGATCCCGTCATAAATAATTTTTGTATGTCATTAATCTGTCACAAGGTTCCGTCATTCATCTGTCATAAATATCATCACAAATACTCCGTCACATGCTTCGTGTTCCGTCAAAATTCAGTCACAAGCAATCCGTCACATTGGTTGTCACAAATATCAGTCACTTTTCTCGTCACAATAGCACCATAATTGTTTTATTCTCTTTATTTTACTACATTTTTTTTGATAAACAATCAACAAAAAATCACAAAGCATAAATATATTAAAACAAAATCACAAAGCATAAATATATTAAAACAAAATCATATCGTTTCCAATCTTTCAGAGCATCATTTGGCTAGTAGTATCTAGTGCTAAGAATCTGTTATGAATTACAAAACATAAATATCTTATTTATAGAAAACACAATCTCTTCTTAGCTCTAAACTCGTTTGTATTCCTCCTCTCTTTTCTGAATCACTGCCATCTCTTGTGCCCTCAATTTTCAGGTCACATTCCTAACACCACTCTTCTCTATCTGCCTTCAATATCTGCCTTCAATATCGACAAACCATGGCCTTAGTATCTATCTTCCTCTCCATCACGTTCTCCTCAACCCTGATCAACAATTTCATCTTGTTTCCCTTCCCCATCCACATAACTCTGTTAATTAAAAGGAGAAGTCCACAACTACAAGTAAATAACTGCATTGTATTGACATAATTAAAACTAACGTTGAAAAGTTACTAATGAATCATTTGAGATACCTGATAAGTTCGTATACTCACAAGGTTTACTCACGTAAACAAAATGTTGAATTAACATGGGGATGCAACGACCCAATAATTGTAGCACATATAGACATAACCATAATAACACATACACACATAATACATGAAATTCAAATCCACATACTCTATTCCAAAGAACTATAAAGAAATCGTATCAGCTTCGCAATCTAATCACATCAAGGTTTCAAAACAATTTACAATTATACCTTAATAATGAACTTCAAATTACTTAAATGAACCTATACTCTTATCGGTCCTAAATCCATTGAGAGGTATCCTTAAATAGAACTATGTCCTCTAAATAACGTCCTAACAACTCTTTTCATTCATAGTACTCTATGTTAGAAAATCTGGCAGCTTTGGTATTTCAACTTTGAAAATTCATATATCTTAAACCGTACATACAAACCTTATGAAATTTTCACACAATGTTCACATATATGTTAATTATACCCTATTAAAACAGTTTAGTAAAATACCTATCCACGTGAGAGAAATAATTAATTCAATACACTAACACCAGCAGAATTTCAGAACAGAGCATTCAAATTTAAAAATACCAAATAAATTATTCTTTCAACCAAACACCATGAAATTTTGCTGCGAATCATATTTATAAGTCTTTAATCATATCCAGTTAGAATCGCATGAATCGGGCTAAGATAGAATTTAATTTAACACATAATTCATAGATGACTCAGAAATCGTGCAGTTTCAGAAAACGGTTCATAACTTGATCAATACAATTCCGAATTACGCATACCATATATCAAAACGAAGCTAACAGAAACATCTACATGCACAATTAATTTCATAATTTTTAGAAAATAAATCATCGACGAAACATGCACTGAAAGCGGAGGCTACGAATCTGAAATTCGAACTAGGGTTCATGGAAATCTATATTTCTTGACCTAGATCCCTAAATCCGATTCCTAAACATATAAATCAATTAAACACATAAACATCATATTATTATTTATCATTAATTCAATAAAGACCAAAAGTCCTTACCTCTTTGAAGAAAATCGAAGACAAAGAGGATCGGAAGAGTAAACCGGAGGATTCTCAGAGCTTGGCTTGAAGGCTTTTGGGGCTGAACTTGGAGGTTGTCGAGTTATCGAGGGTCCGATCCTCTTGATGGTTTGGTGGATTCTATAGGGAAATTAATCCCATTAATTAGATGTGAAACTTCCCAGAGAAGAAGGGGAATTTTGAGGATTTTTCATCGAGCCGTAGAATGCGAGGAAGAAGAGTGAAGACAAAAATTCTCGTTTCTTCTCTAAGAAGAAGGAAACTGCCGTAAGAAAATTGGGAAGGAAAAATAGGAGGAATCTTCCTTGCTTATAGGCTAGGAAGTTAGGAGGATTTTACCTAAGGGCTATTATGCAATATTTAAAACAATCGTCTATGTTCTCATTGTCTAAGGCTTTCACGTAATAATCATATTTACCTTATTCGTTATCATAAAATATGACATGAAATCGAGTTTCACATAATTTCATATAAGAGCACATAACACTCTCATACTTTTATGGCCGAGAATAATTAAGCCTAATATCTGGATCAGCAATTCACATATCACGTTAGAATTCACATAGCATATAGTCAAACTTATTACTTTACGGATAAACACATAATAACATTTACCTCAACCTCGACATGGACGAAAAGTTTCCCTGCTTAACGTATATTCACAAGGTTTACTCACGTAAACAAAATGTTGTATTAACACGGGGGTGCAACAACCCAATAGCTGTAGCACATATAGACATAAAGTCCCTATAGTCTGTATTAACAAATTTAAACACATAGATGCAAATGCAATGGGATCCCTATCAGATTCATAACATGGTTATCGGTAATAGACGTCGATATTCTGAGCCCGTTCTTAGTGGGAGCTACCCACTCCTAATAACAATTAAAGAACACTTGGAAGATAACTAGAAGAAAGCTGCGTAATTATGTCCTGGCCAGTAAATAGGTAAAGTGATTCTTTTATATATTATATTTTATTTAAGTTAAGGTTTGTCTTCAAAATAATTAATTATATGTTTAAGAACTAAATGTAAATAGAGAATCAAAATAATATTTGAGAACATAAAAAAATTTATTAAATATATAAGTGAATTAAGCAATTAAGAACAAAATAAATTCTTACTAGAAAAATAGTCAATGTTGAAAAATTCAATCTCCTATTTCGTAGAACTAAAAAAAGTAATAAAAACACAAGTAACTGAATTTATATTTTCAATTTATTCATTTTGGTGTATTAAACTGAATTTACAAAAAATAAAATAACAAGTAACACAACAATTAGTGTAGTGACAGATTAATGACGAAACATAAAATGTGACGGACTTGTGTCTAAAATGTATGTGACTATTTCTGACCAGATAAACATAGTGATGGATTAATGACGAAACATAAAATGTGACAAATTTGTGACCAAAATGTATGTGACGGATGTGTGACAGGCATGATATTGTGACGGATCTGTGACCGACATTGATCAAATTGTTTTATTCATAGAAAGTTTGTGACTAATTTGTGACAGAATCAGTTTCCGTCAAAAGATTTGTGACCGAAATGTGACTGAGTTTCGATTGTCACAAAATCCGTCCCAAATTCGTCACATATTGGTCATAAAAAAATTATGAATTTCAGTAGTACATTCAGTCACATATCTGTCACTCATTCGGTCACTCATGGTGACGGATTTAGGTTGTCACAAAATATCCGTCACAAAAGCCCTATTTTTTGGTAGTGTTGGAGTTGGCCGCTCCGAGTGGATGTAGATCTTTCGATCGAACCACTATAAATTCTTGTGTTGATCTTTAAATTCTGTTTTAGATTTACTCTTATAATTACTTGAATTATTTATTATGTCACAACAATATATGTGTGTGTTAGGGTCAGTTTGGATCATGGGTTTCAATATTGAGAAATGAAAAATGTAAATGGAAATGAAATCGGAGAATTCTCGAAATCGCAAAATATGTTTGGTTCTCCAAGAAACATAAAAATGAAAAACTTGATTTAATGGCGCGTCCAAATCTGAGAGCACGATGTCCGATCGCTACGTCCGTTGTTTGATGTCCGTGTTTTCCTCAAAGAATTTCAGGAAATAGATTTACCTTTATTTCAGCTAATTTTTTTCAACTGTTTCCTTTAAGTTACTTTACACCGTGTTTTACATTCTAACCAAACAACAAAATCATTTTACCTAGTCTTTTTATATTTTACACGCTACTTTCCATGATCCAAACAAACCCTTAATTAGTGTGCATTGTAATTTTGTATTACTATTGTAATTTTGTATTACTATTTAAGTTGGTCTCAAATTAGAGCTCACTTCCTAAGTTTAATTTGCTCTGAAATTCATTTTCCTTTAAAAAAATAATAATAATAAATGGGAATAATACAATTTTCATCTCTGAAGTTTTCACTGATTTCACATTTGGTCCTCATATTCACAAAAAACACATTTAGTCCCTCATGTTTCAAAATTTCATCATTTTTAGTCATTTCCCTCAATTTTCCATTCTCCAATCGATTCAAGAATGCGAGAACGAACTAATGCCCCCTTCAGGTATCTCGATTGAAATTCCCATCAATAGCATTTTCCGTAGAAATAGTATTCTTGCTTATTTCGACGATCCTCGATACAAAAGAAAGAGTTCGGGCATTACTAAATATGGGACTTTAGAAATGCATTCAATCGGCAAATGAGAGGATTCGACTGAGTATCGAGAAGGCAAGGAATTTAGGTCAAAATACCAAATGATATGAACGGAATGAAGCATGCGCCCATCATTGCCCTAACTGACGGAGTAATGGTAGATTGACGGAAATGACAAAAAATATTAAAGTATTGAAACATGAGGGACCAAATGTGAAATCTATGTAAACTTCAGGGGTCAAAACTGAAATGTACGTGTGCTGTAAAGTTTAGTCTCGAAGTGTGAAATCACTACACTCGAACTAGAGGATAGAAGATAACCTTAGCTAGAGTGACCTCAATTTAATTTCATGTGGGGTTTTCCTTTTTATCCCGACCATCATATATTGCTGTCTTCTTTCTTGAATTAGTTGGCATCCGAAAGCGACTCAAATGGAATCCAATGATCAAAAAAAAATCATATTATTATTATTTTATACACTATTATTTCTTTTTTGAAAAAGTAGATTACATAATTACCATTATTATATTACACACATTTGCTGTCAGAATAAATTGGTGATTGGATTTTATATCAGAGGAAAAAAAAAAGGGCATCTTGAAAGGAATGAAGTTCTTATTCCAGTGTCCTTGTTGCTCTTGTTTCTGCTTCCTCAAGCCCAAGAAGGGCAAAGCTAGGGTCAAACAAGCCGCGGCTGCAGCCGATCAAGCCGATGCTAAACCTACTACTGTAAAAGAAGCCCCACCCCCACCCCCAGCCGAAGCCAAAGCCGAAGCTGGAGCCGGAACCAAGGAAGACTGATCAGATAAGATATTCTGCACTGAGGCATACATATTGGCTAATATTATTCCAAACAAAATATCAAAATAGTAAAATTGTATTTAGCTGTTATTTATTAATTACCTCTGGGAGTGTAGTGATGACTTTTGTATGAGAATTATTCGTGTGCTTGCTTTTATTTTTATTAATAAATAAATGTGCTTAATTATTTATTTGGCAATAATCACCAGAGAAAACTTCTTCTAAATATATATGGTACGTAATGGTTGATTGATATGAAGATCTACAAGACTCTCTTTTCGTAATAATTTTTCGTTAAAAGATCCATATTTAGGACAAAGTTAGATCTTGTACGTTAAGGCGTCTCGTCTTAATATTTTCGTCTCGTTTTTATTTTCGATGTCTTGCAATTTTAGTTTAGCTGTTTTAGATACGAAACTGATCCGTTCGGAGCGGGTTTAGGTAAGTAAGTTAAATAGTTTTGGTATAAGTGGTTCTACTAAACCATGTATGTAAGGTTTTAATTAGTATAGAGATAATTAATTTCATTGTGGTATTTACTCTGTATTTATGTTCTGCAAGAGGTAAAAATAGTTTTTAGTTAAGTTTAAACCTAATTTATTCTAGCAGTTAGAAGTATCAAATGATATGTTTGTTTTCTTCACTTTGGTGCAAATTACAGCTACCCCTGAGGAAAGGTCAAATTACGAAAAAACTCCTCATGTTTGGGTAATTACAACCAGCCCCTCAATTATGCATTGTCTTACGAAAAAATTCCTCATTCAGTATAAATTTGACGCCGCAAGAGTGGCGTGTAAGACAATACATAGTTGAGGGGATGGTTGTAAACACAAACATGAGTGATTTTTTCGTAATTTAACTTTACCTCAAGGGGGTGATCGTAATTTGCCCTTTTAACACTTTATATAACATTACATTTGAAATTTGAGATTTTTGTTGTTGTAGATGTACGAGTACAATATTATGAAAATTAAGAGATCAAAGTTGTTCCAATTAGTGTTGACGAGTTTAACGAGTCAGTAAGCCAGGCACGTTAAATTCGTTTATGGGTTGGACAAACTGAGTTCAGGCAGGCCAGGCACGTTAAATTCGTTTATGGGTTGGACAAACTGAGTTCAGGCAACAGTAAGTTGGAACGTGTCTGGGGTTCTGATATGTTTTAGTGCATCGCAGATCTAGGCAAAACCATTCTAAAACCGACTTGCCATGCATATTCATGTCTCATTTGTTGTCAAATTACGAAAAAATCCATCCTATTTGGATAATTACAACAACCCATTTATAGCGTTTTATATGCCCTTAATTTTTCATCTCTCTATCTCATTATAGTTCATGTGTATAAATAATACATTTAATTTTCAAGGCCAAATTATTGCATGTCCCTGAGGAATGTTAAATTATTAAAAAATCTCTCCTTTTTGGATACAAACCCCTTTATATTGTATTATACGTCCACTCTTAAGGTGTTAAATTCAGTAGAATTTACCTACTGAATGTGGATCTTTTTCGGAAGAGGGGGTGGTTGTAATTACCCAAACATGAAGGACTTTTACGTAATTTAACCTTACCTCATGGGTAGTCGTAATTTGTCGAATTTTAAATATTATTTTTTAATTATTTATTATAATTATAATAACATAATTAACACTAGATTTCATAATTTATAATTAAGATTTAAGATAAATTACAAAAACTCCTTGAACTGAGGCTAAATTATAAAAAACACCTCCACCTATCCGTAATTATCAAAATGCCGCCGAAGATTGTTTCTGTCTTACACCGACCCCCTAACAGTGTGATTTTTTAAGGAATCTTTTTAATCCCAAGTAATAATTGCCGAAATGCTAATTCTACCCCTGCAGACGTGAAATTTTATTTATGTTACTTTTCAAA